GTAGGGGATTGCTAGTCTGTCACTTGACCGTTCTTGCCGTCATTTCCCCTTCCCGTGCTCTGCGACCATCCCTCCCTCCCTCCCCCTTTCCTCTCCCTCTTCCCTCCCTCCCTCTCCCCCCTCCCTCTCCCCCCTTCCTCTCCCCCTCCCTCAACTCGCTTCCTCCCTCTCTTTCTCCCCCTTACCCCCCAGGGTTTTAGAGCACGGCTCCCACACGTACCTGTCACGGCCCAGCGGCACCCTCGCCTACCTGTCCCCGGAGATGGTCACGTCGTACCGCCAGTCAGCGGCGGCGGACCAGGTACGGCACTGCTGCTGCTGCTGCTGCTGTTACACTCGGCTGCGGCAACCCTGCGGAATTACGGCGTGAAGGAAGCTGTGAAGAGGCCCCCCCAGGGGCAATTCAACCTCAATCAATTTGCTTTCCCTCACTGGTCACCTTCTTCCCACCTTCCCACCTTCTTCCCACCTTCCCACCTCCTTCCCACCTTCTTCCCACCTTCTTCCCACCTTCTTCCCACCTTCCCTCCTCATCCTCCTCCGCCTGACACCTTGCTTTCCTTCTCGCAGTACGCGTTCGGTTTACTGGTGTGGGAGGTCGTCACCACACAGCCGCTCTTCCGAGGACTCAAAACTCCGCAGGTGAGGCTGAGCTGAGCTGAGCTGAGCTGAGCTGGGGTGTAACGGTTTTATTTGGGGTTATTATGTTTTTAACTGTGTGATTAAGCGAGAGCGTGTTTCAGGGTGAGGCGGGGTGCGGGCAGTTTCGGGGTATGCGTTTGGAGTGGCGGAAGCGGGCCCCCCGGGGTCGCCTCCCCCCCACCCGGGCGTTTCACTTCCGGATACCCCCACGGGTCGATGACTTTATCGCTAAGAGCTTCAGCCATTTCGGACTTTCCGGGACTACGGACGCCCCGGCAGCTGTTTTTTGAAATCCTCGCACATGATTTCCCCTCCCCCCCTCGTCTTGCCGTCATTGCTCTCCTAAGAAGGGAGGAGGTGGTTTTATTAGATGAAGTGCTCTCCTCCAAAGATGAGATGCTCGGCTGTACATACATACATACACACATATGTACATACATACCAAGCTCTCGCGGCCCACACTGTAATCTAAGTCATACATACATACATACATACATACATACATACATACATACATACATACATACATACATACATACATACATACATACATAGTACATACATAGTACATACATAGTACATACATAGTACATACATAGTACATACATAGTACATACATAGTACATTCCTACATTCCTAGTCACAATGCATTCCTACCTGTATACAGATGCTGTACGCCAAGACCCACAACGCCGACTGGCAGCACCTGGTCTGGCCGACCTGGTGCCCCGAGGAGGTGCGGTCCCTGGCCCGGCGGTGCGCCGACCACCACCCGGCGGCGCGGCTCACTGCGGTGGAGGCCCGGGAGCAGCTGGAGGCCTTGAGGGTGCATTACCAGGTGGGGGGTTTGTCGGGGTCGGGCGGGGCCTTGTCGGGGTCGGGGGGGCCCTGAAAGGCGGGTGTATAGCCCCACATACCCACCCGCACTTTCGCATCCCAGCTGTGCAGTTTTGCAATCCTGGTAGTATGTATGTATGTATGTATGTATGTATGCTGAATTGAATCCGTTCTCGTGTCGGGGTTTTGTCGTTCCCCATACATCCGCTCCCCCCCCTCGTCCCCCCGTATCCCCTCGCCCGGTTAGAGCTTACTGTCCGGGGGCCGGAGCTCATCGGGTGGCGGCGCTGCTGGTGGCGCTGCTGGTGGTGTTGGGGGCGCTGCTGGTGGCGGTTGTTAAGTAATTTCTGGGGCTGGACAGGTTCGCCAGGCTGCCGTCGTGTCCGTGGACGAGCAACCTGGGCTGATGGCGACTGCGGCTGCGGCGACTGCGGCTGCGGCGACGGCATCATCACCACCACCAGCACCATCATCATCACAAGTATCACCGTCACCACCACCACAATCATCATCATCATCATGACTACGCACCTCGCCCTTCAAACAGAATATAAACAGAATTAAATTAATATGTAGCATATTTACCGACCCCATAAAGGAGTTGATATCGCTCGGGGGTTTCCACACAACACATATCTGGGAAACTTGCGACGGCTCCCGGGGGGGGGAGAAGGGACGGGAGCCTTTGCGCCCGACACGGTTTTTTTGTGGCGCGTTTGCGGGTCGCAGTCCCCGCCCCACATGTACGTGACACTCAACCGGCATATGGAACCCTCCCCTCCCCTTCCCCACACCGCAAAAACACACCACGCACACACACGCACTTACATACATACATATCCTCGTGCACGCGGTGATGAGTGAAGCGAATCTCGTGACAACCGGCGAGCGATGAAGAGGGAGGAGAGCCTTGTACTGTGTCCCGCACTGCCATGCTAGGTCGTGTTTTTGCTGCCGGGTACTGACTGACTGCTTGCATAAACGCCAGTGTGTTTATAGGCGCGTATGTACGTGTGTATGTATGTACGTATAAATGTAAGGCGCGGACGAACGGAATGTGTCCGTGTAAGGCGTCTGGTTGTCGGTACTTTGACGATTCTTCTTGTTTCAGCTGGCTTGTGTTCGTGTGTATGTATGTTTCTATGTGCGTATATGAGTTCTTATGTGTATGGATTTGGTTGCGCGAACGAGTTTTTGTCGAAGCTTGAGGTTTTATCGTCATACCCCCCTTGAGATGAGAGGGCCTTACGTCCCCCCTGGAATCCCCCTTCAGTCCCGTAGTGCCTCGCATTGTGTGTATGTACGTCTCGCGTATGTCTGTCGTGTTTTGCTGAACTACGGAACGGCGGCGCGGGCGGGAGATTGCGAGGGTATGGACACACGAGCGGCTTCCTTATTGAAGGAAGAGGAGGCCTCGTTGGGTGTACTGATGTTGCTGCTGCTGTTGGTGTTGGTGTTGTTATTTTTACAGAGTGGGAGGCTTCTGGGCCACTTGTGCCAATGTGTCATATGGTTCCAGAAGCCAAGGCTTATTCTACAGGGCGAATAGGGTGGGTGCTACACACACACCTCTTCAGGCCGTTCGTTGCGCGTCCCGTGCGTACTGCATTGGAAGCGTACTGCACTGTACTGCACTGCATTTTGCACCGATTGAGAGACACACATACATACGTACGGGTGCGCATTCCACGTGCCCCTAATCGTTGGGTGGGTGGAGTGGGTATATACGGGTTTGGGCGCGCTTTTGCTACCTTGCTATGTCGATCCGGGCCTTGTGCTGGCCAGGGGCACCTAGCCGTGTACCCCAACGGGAACGACCGCCCCGAAGCACTATCCTTCTTGTGGTGGGAGGAGAGGGGCGTGAGGGGCCACTATCCCCTCCTGCTCGACCGCATGTGTGTGTGTTTGTATGTATGTTGAGAGGCGTTGTGCGCGGCGCGTGACACGGGTGACCGATGCATGTGAACCGATCTACTCGGCGGGCGCCATGTGACGCTTGTATTATGCACAAACTGCGCCGCGCGGCGCGCCGTGCCTCTTTTATTACTGATTATGCAACTGCTGCTGCTGCTGCTGATGATGATGATGATAGTTATAGCGCAGGTGGTGATGGCAACATTGTAAAGGTGACATGGGACAGCGGGCGGTTGTTTAGATGTGTGCTCAGGGGCCGCGGGCGACATGTAACGACTGGCCCGCGATGGCGGGCAGGGGGGAAGGTGACGGTGCGTCAACCGCCTTCCATAATTCATGGGACGAGAGGTTGGTCTTTTGGCGTTGAGCGTTGCGAGTGCTGGACTTCGCACCTCCCGCAGGTCGGTGGATTCCTTATAGAGGGGCAGCAGGTTGCCCGGGGCCCGGCCCTTTTGATTGAGTCTTCGCGAATTCTGCAGAGTTCTGCAGAGTCTGCAGAGTTTGATTAATGGGCAAAATGAAGGCCTCTGCGTGTTCACCGTTCGCTGCCTGCTCAGCTCAGTCCTGGACGGCCTCTCTGATGACCGAATAGGGTTTCGGAGTAGGCTTTTTTTTCCGTTTTTCGTTTCTTCGGGGAGCGGCAGCTGCAGCTGGACTGACAGCGCGTGTGCGCTGTTGCTGAAAAAAAACATGATGCGTATCGTTTTGTACAATAGCCTTATTTGCTTTGGTTTGTTTAATTTTGCATTGGACTGCCTTGATATTGTTGGCTTGCGTTATTTGCGTTGTAATGTAGGTGACTGGCTGGCTGACAGGATTGTGCTACTGAGACTCCGAGGGCGGGGATCCGGGGTTCCATTTTTTTTGCTTGCATGCTGTGAGGGGCCCGCCCGCTTTATACACCGTCCTTATTTGTTACAGCGGATCCCGAACGGGTCGAGTGCGTCAGCACAACAGTGTGGGTCCTATATTCGTTCAGAACGCGATTGTTACAGTGGACCACGAACGGGTCGAGTGCAGCGACCCTAGGAACGCCTCCCGCACAACACTGTGGGCTTTAGGGTGGGCCAAAAAGAACTCGGCCAGGCCGTACTAACTTCACTGTTACAGTGGACCCCTACATTCGTTCAGCCGATGCGCGGTCTGAAGTTGATGGACGACAAGCACACACACGTATGGGCGACTCGTTGAAGCATCCAAGAACCACCGCCGATCGAGCAGCCTGTCAATCCGCGACAATGCGTACCTTCCCCCTCCAGCTTGCCGCCTCCCCGAGGTCCGTTCAGCGCTGCGTTACCACTTGCCAGTTGAGGCCAAGCTTGACTCATGCACCTCCCATCTCCTTCGTCCCTTCAAGCTGCAAGTTGATTGATATGATCGGCGTTTCCGACAACCATTTTTGAGCACCACTTAAATGTTGCAGCACGTGAGCCGCGAGAAGGTAAAAGACACGTCCGACATGGTTCTTACAAGTTAAAATCACCTGACTCGCTTCACAGCCACCTTTTGTCCCCTTTGGCGGGATATGCCGCTAACGCCCACTACCTGACACGACATACAGCGTAGCGCGTGTAGCCTAAACAGCATTAGCCTAAATAAGCATTCGTTCTCACCCCTTCGTACTAACTGGGTGTGTAGCAGCAGATGCGCATGGTTCATGCAAAGCTCACACCTCCCTTGCACTCTGCCGTTGCTCGCACAAACGCAGGCGTCACGAAATACCTTGTTGTTAACGTTGCGCACACATACACACACATCCCGGGGTAAGCTTGGCTTCAAACTCAGGTCGTTGAGTCGGTACACAGACGGTCACCACAGAAAAATGCACCTCCATCACTCATCCATCTCTCCGCGCCAACGGCTAAAATACATGCAGGAAAAATTAAGAAACCATTATCACATCATGGTGAAGGTAAAATGATTTGTTCCGACGCGGGGCAGCTACCGCCGCCAGCCGCCAGCCACCACCACCGCCACCTTTGCAGGAAGAAGTGAAAATCGCAACGACTGACGAAAAAACCCATCTATCTGACAAGCCTGGAAGTAGCAGCAATAGCGGGAGGAAAAGCGCCATTATGACCGGAACGGAACAGGGAAAAGGAAAAGAAGCGCCAAGTAAACACTTTATATCGGAGTAGCCAGCGCCATTTCCGTGTCATGCCGCCTGCGTGTCTCTGGATCTAGACCGCAGCATCAACATCATCCAGCTCACAAGCAATGCCATCAATAGTAAATGCAGTCGCGCAGTGAACCTCTCCATCATTAGCAGTGCTTCATCTCGATATAGATAGATAAGAGGTGTAGATCACAAGCCACAGCAGTCCGCCTCAGAGCCATGTAAACGGGAAAAAGGCGAACACCGCACAGCGACAACACCAACTGGTGTCAAGCTCATACACTCACTCTCACGCACACACTCGTACACTCTGACTCTCACTCAAGTCATAAGCGCTCGCACATTCGCACTCACACTCTGCCGTCACGCGCGTCCTCCTCCGGCAGCTGCGGGTCCGCCATCATCCCCACTTCAGCCGCCCACAATCGCCCGAGAGAATGAACAACATAACACAACACTGCTGCTGTTGCACCCCCCCATCGCCAACGCCACTTTCCTTACCAGCCAGTAAGTCACCTTTTTCATGGAAAGGCTGCTTCCTGCCTTCCCGCCGTGCATGCAGCCAGAACGCACTCATTAAACGAGCTCTTGCTTGCTGTCAGCTCCGTTGTGATGGGGAAATTTTGTGCGCTGACCCGATGACCCGCGGGGGGGGGGGCCGTCAAACACACGTACACCGCACATACGACGACTCCGCCACAACCCTCCCCCGCGCTTCCAAACGCCCAGTAGAGATTCTCCATCCCAACAGACATGACATCCCACTCCATCGCTCCCGGCATCCCTCTACAGCTTGCTGCGTACGACAGCACCCGCGGTGACGGCAACGGCGTCCAGCGCCGCGCGGATCTGCGCCGCCGCCCGCTCCGCCGTCTGCATTGCTCCTTGAATGCAGGGGTTAATGGCCTCATTAGTGGCCTCCCCAGCGAAGAACAAGCGACCCGCCACAGGGGAAGCCAGGGCGGCTCGGTCGCCCAGCTCCGCGCCCAGGGACGGATACGAGTAGGCGCCGCGGACAAAAGGTTCCTGAGGGGGGAGGGGAAGGCGGAGAAGGGTTGTGCGCGAGCCAATGATCACGATGACAATGCGACGATGACCCCGACATGGCCAATGGCATGTGGTCGGGCAGTTGCGGGACTGGAAAAGCTTACGGGAGGTGAAAAAGCTCGTGGGGGGTAATAGTGGGGGATAATGCAACGAGTGCAAGTGCGCAGATGCTGTGCGTGTTGACAGTGAGTGAGCGAGTGCGGAGTGCACACGTGCGTGCGCGCGGCGGGGACGGTAGCGGCTCAGAAAACAAAGCAAGTCGAAAAAATAATAATATTTTCGTCGGGTCAGGAGTCCCGGGACTGTTCTTCTCCTCAGGGCCGTACGACGCCGGTGGTTAAGATTGTCGTGGTTTTATTCTCAAACGACGATTAATTTTCCAGTGTGTGTGGTTGTTTTCCGGTGATTAATTCCTCAGGCATGGGACGCTGCATGCTGATAGACTGGAGCGCCCTCTATAAAAAGTCGCGGGAGAGAGTGCCGCATGGATGCTCTGTGGGCCCCCCGGACGATACTCGTACACCACTCCCAGGCGGCGTCAATTCATCCCCGTGGCCCCCATTGAAAAGCGTTCTTTAAACGACCTCACACGCCAACTCACAACAAACCACCATAAAAATAAGGCCATGGTTTTCACTCTTGGGCAGCGGCTCAGTAAACAAAGCATTGAAATATATCGCGGTCAGGATTCCCGAAACTGTATGTCTTCTCCTCATCGCCGCGATACCCTCCTGTGCGAACCAAGCCAACCAACCAGTCAACCGCTGTACAACCGCCACTCAAGGCGCAAATAGAAATCGAAGCAAAGCGCAAACTTCGATAATCCGCCCAGGAGGCTTCTTATTTTCCCTACGAAGGCAATAACAGCCAGGGACAAAAAAAGCAAAAAAAATAACACACTACTACATAAAATGTTTCCTGTCATCTTCGACCCTTTTCTTTCATGATTACGAGATATGCCTCTACGCATCACGCAACTCACTCCCCATTTTCTCAAGCTGCTGCTAACGGCACCGCATGTAACCAGCAAAACGCCTTTCAAAAAAATATCAATTGCGCACGCTGTACAAAAGACAAAAAGATTAAACCCTCCAAAAGCGCAGAGGGTTATCAAACAAGGACAACTACCAAGAGGAATTTTGGATGTCGTGGGTTTCTGATGCGACGGCGGTTGCAGAGCTCAGGTGGATTAACTGAGTCCAGCCTCCTCGCGGAAGAGAGGCCTCCTCGCGGTCATGGGTCATCCCAGCCAATGATTTCGTTAACGCCACTGCCACTGCCGCCTCCGCCGCGACCGGCGTCACGCGCCCTCCCCCTCGGAGATAATATAGATCCACTGTACATATCTTTCTAACTTAGGGTTATATCTACTATTAAAATATATTGCAGTTAATATGTTTAGATATTATTTCCACATGATAGGCACCATACATCTCGAAAAAAGAGCGGCCCCTCACGGGGCCGGAATCTCGGATTACGACCTCGTGAATTCCCCAAGGAATTCCGGGTCAAATTGCACAATAAATCGACAAATGGCTTTCTTTTACAGATCGTTTTCATGGCCATGTTTCATGATGTTAATTATTTTGGGTGAAATCCTCAAATCCAATTGCAATTTGACCCGGAATTCCTTGGGAAATTCACGAGGTCGTAATCCGAGATTCCGGCCCCGGGAGGCCTGTGTCTTTTTCGTCCATGCGACACGATGCGCTATTGAATTATATTGCAACTTGCGCAATAAGCGCCTCCAAGCAAGGAAAACGCGACAACGATGCGATCACCATCAACATCACGAGAGCCATGGAATGGTGTCATGAACACAACATATGGAGTTTAACTCTTACCTTGGACCAGTCCACCACGTGGCCCTTCACGACACAAGATGAGGCGGGATGTGGGTCAGCAGCCGTTCCGAAAATCTCATCTAGCTGCTCTAAGAAGCGCTTCTGCGCCGCCTCCGGGCCCAGGGCCGAGACCTCGTCAGCTCGCTCCCCGGCGATAAAACCAACGACACAATGCGGCGTTCCGGCACCTGCGCACGTAGTATGTGACACAATACATGTTTCTTCTCATCTCGAAAACTGCTTCTAAAGCACTTGAGGCGCTCCACAGAGAAAGCAGCAGTAGTACTTGAGAGGGGTGTGCGTTCTGATTGCACATGTCTGCGAATGGTCTTCGTGTGTCCTTTCAAGATCTTTTTTATGACTTCTATGACAACTCGGGCAGCGACGCAGACCTTCCGCAGTCTTCAGCGGGGTAGCAGCAAAAAAAGCAATCAGGGGAGTGCCTCGGAGCTGGCAGCGCTGCCGGCGATGTCAAACTGGTCATGCGATCCATCTCTTTCAACATTGAGTGGTTTTTGAATTATTTAGACCCCTAAGGAATAAGCCCCAGACGACGTCCTCTTCGGAGTCCCGGAAGCTCTTAGACAGCTCACCAGGATTTGTCACAGGGTAGTTGAGCATCCAAAACTCTGGAGCAAAGGCCCCGGGACACACGACGTCGTACATGTCTTCCCTCCAAAATCGCCTGCTGAAGGACAGCACCACCTTGACCACGTTGCCCATTCGCACGCGGGACAGAGCCGCAGTCTTCGCCGCCGGAAGCGGTGGCGAGAAGGTGATGGCGCCTTGCTGCATGCGAGGGACGGAAGGCCGCAGTCATGGAGATGTAGATCGAGAAGGGAGTTTTACTGTGAATTTTTATGTTTTTTTTGAAAGAACGAAAACCGCCGAGTTGAACTCAAAGGAGAGAAAGCAACAACGCAAGGGAAGAGGACATTAAAAGATCGGGGAATTGCTTGTAATAACGCGCAGCCTCTGAATTCGCAAACGCGGAAACTACGTTGATGATTACTAAAATATGTTCGGACGCTGCTGAAAGACGGGAAGCACTGCAGGCAGTACGCAGTTCTGCGCACGAACGCACGCACACCTGCAAGATAGTCACAGGCACCGTAAGCAGTGCTGCCTGGCACCGCACTACTCGCCCATCAGCCGCGCAAATCCGCACGCCGCCTTTCGCTCCGGCCTCTCCACCGTACGATATGCTCGATACGACCCAGCTGGTTCGTACATTTGCGTCTCGGGCCAGATGGGTAATCACAGAGCCCATGGAGCGATCCATTAAAAGATACGTCTCACCTGGTAACCGATTTAGCGGGAAAACAAAATCCTGATCTTGAATTTGAGTTTGAAATCTTTAGTTTTGAGTTTGAAATCATGAAATGAAGGTAAGCAAATGAAAAACATGATCGGAGCTGTAAGAACAATGATATGGGATCGTAAAAAACGTCTACAAAACGTGGCAACATGAAAGAGGCGTGGTGTGAAACCTATTTGCTGTGTTGTGTTAAACCAAGCCCGCCCTCGCTTTGAAGTTTCGACCTACCCGAATCCCAGCAGCGGTTCTCCTCAATCATCTCTCGCACACCCAACTGCTTTAACGAACAACCGAAGTCGTTCGCATAGCACGCGTCCGCAACTGCCATCTGGCGCTGGGTACAGCCCTTAGCCACCATCCACTCCGCCGCCGACTGATCTCGACCCGGAGGTGGGTGAGCTTCATCACCACAGTCTCCGAACAAATCGTGAACCTAACAGTAAATTGACAGACAGGAATGCTAAATACTGTGTATGTATGTTAAGAGATATTTAATACTATAATTAAATATCATGGACTATATCTGTAGAAGGGCGTAGCATGCCGAAGAGAAGTGCAGGTGTGAAATTTCCGATGTTTCGGAAGTCCACGACCAAAGACAGTCAACGTTATCATATAAAAAATCAACACCGGTGGGCGAAAGTTCTCTCGTCCTCCATTCCTCCGTTCTTCTTGCCTTTCAAACATCTGTCACATGCTCTCCCCTATTTCTCAAGACTTACTTTGTCTACTTCGTCGTCCACGTCCTGGTCGTTGATCAGTCCCTGCCCTCCGACTTCAGGACCGAAGTACCACCAGTCGGGCCATTCTTTCTCCCCAAACTTCACACCCAGCTGCTGCTCCACGAAGCGAACAAAGACGGAATTGCGACCGTGAACGAACTCCGGTCCAGCCTCAATGGGCCAAGGAGCCATCCCATGGACCTGAAACATAAATTAAGGGGAAGGTGAGAGAGGAGGAAAGAACTTATTGGGTTGTGGAGAAGAGAGGGTGGAAACGCGGAGGGCTTAGGCTTCATAGGTGAGAATAGAATGGTCGTTGAGGATGGGGAGGAAGGGCGTGCACGAAAGTAAGGCTAGATGGTAGAACAATGTGCAGCCCAACAGCGTTCCACTTTCACTAAGTCGCGGTAGCTTACAAAGCCAATCCGCAGCGGTTAAGCAAAAATGATTGCATGGTTTTCTTAATATTAGTTTGAAAAGTCAAGTTGCAAGTATGGAAGCGCTAATAGAAATATGCAAGCTTTGGGAGGCTGCCATTTTGACGCCGCCAGGGTGAAGAGCCTTTCGCTACCTTGTCCCTCAGCTGGTCAGCATTAGCGCGTTACCAAAAACCTGGGATGATGCAGCATACCTGCTTGATGCGGCCGCCGACGCGGTTCTGTGCCTCCAGAACCACGACGTCGGGGAACCGTTCCTTCAGTAAATGCGCCGCATAAAGCCCTGACAAGCCGCCACCTATGATGGCAACGCTATGGTATGACTCCATTGCGCGCCGAGGTTGTTGGACTTGTCTGAGCCGCCAACGTTTATACGTTAGCTGCTTTCTATCAAAAATGCAACCAGGCGAACAAATTTTGCGCTCATTACACGCCCGCGCTTGGTTGGCCGCAATACAGCTACGAGATTGATAGCCGGCGGCCTTCATATTTGACCAACATGCCGTTGTCTGGTACAAGGTACGTACACGACGCTGTACGACACTCGGCCTTCCCAGCTATGCAAGCTTTGCGCGGATGTGCGATGTGATGTTTGAGAGGAATGTTGGCATGGTACAGGCTATGTAAGCTGCATGACCTATATACGTCTTAGGAACACTGTACTCGACTTGAATTATAGACGAAAACATGGGGTTTCAGCTAACACCCGAGTCCTTACGAAAGCTTTGCAAGGACCTGAAAATGTGAGAGACTGTATTGCTCATGATTAGGGTTGCTGGGTTACCGCTGGGCATATATGTTGACTTAACCGTGGACTGTATACTCCGCAGCTATACAAGTTGTCCCGAGCTTAACGATGTCTTGCACTTACAATGCAAGGGTATTACCAAGCTGGAGAATCTGGACGTAAGACCATCATCTCAGCGGTTCCTCGGTTAGCAGACCCATGCGAACTTTTGCAAACGCTCTGGGCATCTGCTTTCTGATCTGTGTGCGCAAATCACGATGTTAGGCATTGTTTTCGCACCGAGGTTGCATGCGCTTGACATGCTTACCGTGCTCTGCAGGCTTATACAGGATTAAAGACCTTGTATCTCGAACAAAATGCGATTTCGGATATCGAGAACTTGGACAAATTGGTCAACCTACGGTGCTTGTACCTCGGAAAGAACATGATTTACAGTACCCTTGGGCTGCAAGCCCTCACCAATTTGGAGACGCTGGACTTGGCAGAGAACGTGATCTCAACAATAAACGATCTTTCGAAGCTTCCTTTATTAAAAACGCTTAACATCTCGGGGAACAGACTCCACACCGTCGACGACATCCGCGACTTGGCTGCATGCCCGCAACTTCAGTCCTTGGACATGGCCTCCAACCGTCTAGAGGCACCGGAGGTAGTTGACTTCATCTTGTCTATGCCGCTGCTCTACCTCAGACTAATGGGCAATCCAGCAGTCAGCAATTACAAGTACGTCGTGGACCCGGCCCCTTTCCTCTATGGCAACCCCCCATCCTCCCCCCCCCCACTCTCCGCCACATCCGCTATTCCTGCTATTGCCGCCATGGGCCGCCCTCCCCACACCGCCGGATCCCCGCACCGCTGACCCCCCCTCTCCCCTCTACACACACATCGGCGGGGGCCCCCATGCACGAGATCCTACCACACTTGCATCACCTATCGCCTCAAAGCACCCCACCCACCTACCCACCCGCAGACCTGCCCGACTCATCCCCCGCCCCACCCTAACCCGTCTCCTCGCCGCAACCCCTACACCACCTCGCGACCTTGCCTCATTTCCCCCCGCATCTCTCCCGCCTCTCGCATCCCCTCCTCACCCCCACCCACAACACACCCCAACCTCACCTCACCACAACCCGATTCCGAACCTGCCGCACCTTGCCTCAATTCCAACCCTAAAACACTGCACAGGCACTACCGCAAGACTCTGCTGGCCCGCATGCCCAGTCTGAACTACCTGGATGACTCCCCGGTGTTCCCGAAGGACCGCCGCCTCGCAGTGGCATTTGTGGAGGGAGGAGGAGTGGAGGCGGAGAGGGCCATGAGGGAAACTATTAGGTAGATACCTGACCGGACTGAACTGGATAGGGGTCTTACGGGTCTGGGGTGTGGGGGTAACCAGCACGGGTCAGCATGATGACCACCGTCTTGTTCGTCTCGGAGTCTGTCTGTCTGTCTGTCTCGACATTAATCTATTGGTCTCGAGCAACGTTTACGAGTCTGTTAGGGTTTTATTCATTTCCTAGCCGTGTCCATACCCTGGGCCCTTGCCTGGCCCGGATTCCGCCGGGCCCTCCCGTTCCTTGCCTTCCAGGCGCGAGGAGGACGAGGCCCGGGAAGCCCAGCGACGAGCCTTTGACGAGATGGTGGAGAGGGCCCGTCTGCAGGCCCCGGAGCCACACGACCCCATGCGCTTCAGAGCAGTGCCGCCAGGTAGGGCCGGTTGTGGGGGACATCCCGCATGACCTCCGCAAGGAGGGGTGGCGGGGTGGCAGGGGGCGCGGTTTTGAAGGACTGAAGCCGCGTGCGATGCTGTGTGGTGCTAGGCGGGCTCCACGCCAAGGGTCATGTATTTATGGGATGAACGAGACGATTCAGGGGTAAGGGCAAAACGGCCAAGCGGCGATTCACGGCTTAGTTATAGGAATATGTCGGTTGGCCGAGGGAAGGAAATGGTTCTTTTTGAAGAATGCCAGGAGAGGGGTTTATCAGCCTCCCGTCAGGGAGAGGTGAGTCACGAAGGGGAAGGCTCGTTACGGCACGAGTGCACACACACATCCACATGCAAACACACCTCGCCACCTCTTGGGAGAAGGGTTGCTTTCCCCTCCGTGTGTTGGGAAAAAAGGTGGGTGGGTGTTAGGTGGACAGAGAGCTCTGTTGTTGCCTTGCTCGCCGCCCACCTCGATGGCTGAGTGGCTGTAGCAGGTAGGATGGCTAAGAGCTGGCCGTAAAACCCTCTAGTCCACTTGCATGGCTGCATGGCTGGCTGACCTCCAAGATACGTCAGCAAGTAGAAGCATGTATCGCTTTGGGGCACCTCCCGTCTATCGTTCCCCGGCCGTTAAATGGCCGCCGACGTTACTCCGGACGGCCGGAAAGCTTGCCAACAACTGACTAAACCATTTTCGCCGTAACGAATAGGGGAGAGCGACAGCGACGAGGAGGGGCTCCCGGCCCTGTACCGTCGGCGGAACAGGGCCGCAAGTGCCGCCGCCGCTGCTGCTGCTGCTCCTACAGCCGCTGCTACAGCTGCTGGTTCCTCTGAGGCTCCCACGGAGGATGCTGCAGGCGGCGCTGCTGCCGCTGCTTCTTCTTCTGCTGCGGTGGCGGGTACTGCAAACGGTGACGCCAATGGCACGGTGACGGCGCAGCCCTCTCATATGTCCGCGGCAGTCGATGCCTCCGTATCAACCGCAGGCGCCGCCCATCCTGCCGCTCCAGCAGCAGCGGCAGTATCAGCCGCCCCGCCAACTCAACCGGCCCATGGGTCGCTCATTGTCCGGCTCGAAGAGGAGCTCCGAGACCTGGCCGCATCGGCGTCTTCACCAGGAGCGGCGGCGGCGGCAGCAGCCGATGCTAGCGGCTTACCGGTCACCGAGATGGCTGCTTCCGGTGGCGGCGTCAACACGCTCCTCCACGCATCTTTAGCGCGGTTGCATGCGGGTGTGTCCAATCTAACCAGCCCCGCGCAGCTGTGGCAGCTTCAGAACGGCGGCCACCAGGATCAAGATGTGGTGGACAGGGAAGGGACGGGGCCGAAATCCAACAGTGGTGGCTCCGGCGGCCCTGGTGGGGACGCGCCGTTGGCTCTGGGCCGCCCAGACTTCAGGTCAGGAGTCTAGTCGGGCTGGGTTGGGCCGGGGTCGGGGGGCCCCTGGGGGAGGTTGTAGCCCTCTTCCGCATAAACATCTCCACTGCTCTCTCTCTCTCTCGTCTCCCGCGTGCGGAGGAGGTCTCGTCGTTGCATTATAGCCTAATAGTCTAATCTCTCCGTGGCTCGTGTTATGTCGGGGACACCTCGCCGTACTCGTCAACACTGTCCCGGTCTTTGGAGCTTCAGTCGTACATTCTTGTAACACAAAGGAGGCTCTCCTTCGACCTCCTTGTTATGCTCCTTGGAAACCCTAGCCCCTTGAAAGCTGCATGTTGTTGCTGTTGCTGCTGTCCTTGACCCTTTGTCTGTGTCCCCCGTGTTTTCCGCGTCATCCCACGCCACGCCACGTCATCACGCCACGTCTTCAGAGAGGAGCTTCGCGAACGGGCCATCGCTCGGGCGGCAGCTCGCGCGGAACTCGCCAATGCAATGGCGGCAGCCGGCGGCGGCGGCGGCTCCGACGACACGGCTATGTCGCCGTCAGCAGCAGCGGCGGCTGCGGCGGCAACATCCCTACGCGGCACCTCCCACGCGCCGCGGACCAGTAGGCCGGTGTGGCGTACTCCCGACTACCAACGCCTCTGGAGCATGGCGCTGCAGTTGGGTGAGACGCAGGAACAGGAACAACAGCAGCAGCAGCAGCGGACAGATGCCGGCGCGGCAGGGTGGCAGGGCAGGGAGGAAGAGGAGGAGGAAGGGTTGCTTGGCGGTGCCGCCGCTGCCACCGCCTCAGACGGCGGGTTGCTGCGATTGCAGGAGCCACAGCTGCTGCGGTACGTGCCGGTGGCAGCGGCAGGTGCGGGCAGGCTGGAAGTTGAGGAAGGCAGCGGCAGGCCGGATGATGACGGGGCTGCGGCAGCGGTGCCGTCACCGCCGTCGCCGACGATGGCGCAGCTGTTGGTTTCATTAGACTTGCTGACGGTGCCGCCGGAGATATTAACGCCGGATGAGGCGCAGAGCATCGCGGATTCTGCTATGGGATACGACAGGATCCAGCGCGGTCTTGGGGACGGCAGCGGCTTGCTGCACGGTGGCCGCGACGCGGATCTGGATTCAGCTCGGTCCCGTGGCGAACGAATTTCAGATCTAGATCTTCGCGTAGCAGAAGTTGATCTAGATTCCGCGCGGGGAGCCCTGGTACGGCCCTTTGCCCTCGGAGACATCGACTCGGCGCGGTCGTACTCGCGGCCCGCGTCATCGCGCGGGGACCCAGAGGACGGCGAGGAAGACGCGGCGGCTGCGGGCGAGGTCGGCGGCGACGACGACGAGGCGCGTGACGGAGCGGAGGCCGTAGGGGAAGATGGCGTGGACTTGGACCTCTTGGCGGCGGCGGCTGTGGTGGCGTCACAGGGGGATTTGCAGGACTTGTTCGCACGGTACTCCGTCACGGCGTACGGCAGGGGTGACACATCGCACCTACGCCAGCGGCGAAACTCTGGAGCCGGCGACGGCGGCGAAGCTCCAGCGGCGGCGGAAGAATCTTCGACTACCCCTGACCAGCAGGCAGCCGAGCGCTGCGGTCCTGGCGGCAGCAATGACCCTGACGGCGGTAACACCAACACCGCGGCCGCGGCCGAGATCGGTACGACCCGCAGCTCGGAGTGGGCCGGGTGGCAAAACTACCCAAGTCCATCTGGCACTGGCGATCCTTCCACAACCAGCGAGAATACGGCACCCGGCGGCGTCGTGTGTCCGCTCCAAGACCGTTCAGGCGATAGCCCGCGTGCCCGGTCGGGCGGTGCGGCGGGGCCGTCGTCGCCGTCGTCGCACGGCCGACGTGGCGGGGAGCTGCCGCCGCATATCCACCCAGGACATGGACATGGCCCGGGGCATTGGAGCCTGCGGCGAACCGACACGGCGAACAATCGACCACTGGTGGGTCGCGGAAACTGGGACTGGGGCCGCACTTGCTGGAATATGGTAATTAATGGAGTTAAGGCGGAGGACTTGGGGCAGCACGGCCAGCAGGCATCACAGGTTCTTGGAAGGACCAGCAGCGGCTGTGTGTTGAACACCTTTGATGCCGCCGCGCCACGCGCCTTTTCTCGTTCGTCCGTTTTCGGAGGAAATCGGCAGTAGTTTTGTCAAGGGGATGGGAGTCCGATGTTTCCAAAGCCCGCTGCTGCTGCTGCTGCTAGGGCTGCTGCTTATGCTGCCCAAATGATGATTCCGCTACCTGGAAAACAACTTCACATAATCGCTCATGACGTATGAAAAGTGCCTATCTCCAAATCCACAGGAGAACCGTGGTGGCGGCGGCGGCAGCGGCAGCAGTGACTCGCTCCAGCAGCCGCCGCGCCAGTACGACAGCGACGTCGCGCTTGCCATTACCGGTAGTGGCGGTGGCGGCGGCGGCCACAACCGCGGCGGTGGCGCCACATCAACTACTGTTGTTGTCAGCAGCCGCAGCGGCGACGACGTTGACAATGAGGTTGTGGCGAACCCTGCGGAACTCCTGCAGCGAGCCCGGTCCATCTTGACGTCCGATAGTAGCGGTCCGGTTGGTGGAGGCGGTCCGGGTGGCGGAGGCGGTAGCGGAGGCGGTGGGGTCGTGGGTGGAAGTGGCAGCTTGCCCCGGAGCAGCTCCATTTCCCCTGCGGATCTCTACCACCAGCTTGCAGGTGCGCCCCGGGGGCCGTTTAGTAATGGTAGTGGCGGTAGTACTTGTTCTATTAGTAATAAATAATAGTAGTAGTAGTGGTGGTGGTGGTAGTAGTAGTGGTGGTGGTGGTAGTAGTAGTAGTAGTAAATTCTCGCCTTGACACGGAAGGGGGGTTGGGTTGGGGCTTGTGTGGAGAAAACGTAAAGGAAAAGAGAGGCAAGGGGCCTTCGAGCCTCCTCTAGACTCGAGTTAGGGAGGTGCTTCATGTAAGGTAAGGTTGTCCATGGCCCCCCCGGCTTTTACGGACACACCCGCACTTGTGTGCGGAACTTGTAACTTGTAAGGTTGGCGACGAAGGGTTCTTGGTGTGGTCGGTTATAAATAGTAGGTAGGAAATACATGAACGGCGTGACAGTGAATCCGCGACCAGATTACCGGTAGCTAATGCTGCCAGGGCGTGTGCGGTGCGGTTGTATTTGCGCGCAGCAGTACGGCGTCGCTGCTGCTATAGCATGCTTGCTGACTTGCTTGCGTGACGCGCCTCAGCGTCTGAGCCGGGTTTCTTCAGCTGGGCGCCTCAACGCACACGAAACTGCCGCGTCTCGTCGTAACTGTTGCCCCCTTTCCATGCGACCCTGAAAAAGGGCGTGTGGGTCCCCAAGGGGCCATGGGGTCCTGAACCGCACACCGCACACTGTGTTTTAACCGTACGCCTGGCACTTGTAAACCCTACCATTTGCCCTACCCTACCTCAACCCTACCTGAACCCGGCACAGGTCAGCTGCAAGACCCTGATACATTGGCAGCTGCTCGCCAGGCTGTGCTCGGAAGCTTGGCGCCTGCCGCATCGACGACGGCGACGACGACGAGTGTGGTGGCGGCAGCAGTCGGCGGGACTCTCCGCGCCGTCGGCAGCAACGGCGGCGTTGTGGGCACGGCCATGCCTGCTGCCCCGTCGCCACAGCCACAATCTCAGCACCCGGCTGGTCCTGGCGCCTTTGTGCCGGCAGGAGGAGGGGCCGCTGGGCCCAGCGGCCATGGCCCCGATTCCCTATCGGGATTGTATGAGCTGGATTGATGGCTGACAGGCCGGCGGTCGAGGCGCATGCTGATACATGCAGACGAGCTTGCGTCGTCTGAGACCTTCCCTTCCTTGGCGTGCCTAGGCCTCCTTCATACCTTTAAAATTTGCCCATGCTAACACATACACCTAACCAAAGTACCTAAAACACACATACGCTCGCGCACATATGTCCTTTGAACCGCATGCGCTGTAACTGTTGATGGCGGGTAGTACGGGGCAAAATGGTGGTGAACGAGTCAAGGTTTGCGTTTGCGCATTTCCAAGGAAGAATGTGCTCACTGTATGTGTGTGCATGTATCTGACACGATCTGTGCAATCACAGAGGGCTCTCCACTGACTGGGAGAAGGGCGCCTGAAGCGGAACGAGCCGGCAGTCGAATGCTTTCGCGTATGCAGCGTCAATTGAGAGGGGACCTGAGGCGAAGCGGGAAGGCGGCTGATCCGCCCGACGTAGGAAAGCAGGAGCGCGACAGAGCAGCACGTGAAGGTCAATACCTTTTTTCTGCGTGTACATACATGCGCATCCGTTGACATTGTCCTCTCGTACTGGAAGGCGGGTGGTTGTCGGTTATAAATGGTTTTATTTTCATTTGTTGGAATATGGTGCGCGTCTGCAGTGTTGGTTCGCGGTTGTGTATTGCAGGTGATGGTGGTGGATTTGCGGTTTCTCCGTGAAGACGTCTTCTTCCAAATCGGCCGGCACTTCATGTCTTGTTTTGCTCAAGATCGAATAGAAAAACCATTCTTGCGCTTTGTGGTGTGCACGTAAGTATAGTGCTGTGGTGTGGGTGGAAAGATGCGGGTGGCCGTCAGGCGGCGGCGTGGGTGAATGCAGCGGTAGCATGATGAGCCCCCGATAAACATTTGTAAAATGCTGGATGGTAAGGGTGGCTCCGCATAGTTCCCCTCAGACCACTTCCCTTGACGGGAATCCTCATCCTGGCGCCAAAGATTTAAGCGCCTTGCGTCAACGCATACTGGACAACGCTCAGCGCGTGATTTACAACATGACTCGGGGATGCACATGGTGCATCCGAATTAAGAACCACAGGGATCCCAATTTTCAGAGCATGTTACAATTCTGCAGGGATAGACAACAATGCGCGAGCTGTCAAGGGAGGGGCCCTTGTAGCGCCGACAGCATTCAGTTCCGACAATTTAACGGCAGTAAACAGCATCGCCCAACTGACATGACGAGGACTTGACCGCGTAACAATAACAAAGTGCCAAAAGCACATAATTATGTGAAGTTGCATAACCCCCCGAGAGACGGACCTGTCCTTAGGAAAGTAAAGTCTATACACAGGCCTGGTGGTGTACTATTGAGAGGTGCACTATCATCACTCAAGCAGACCGACCGACAGGAGGTATCATCAGACACACGAAGTATGGTATAAGTAGCCTCACAGAAGTATCTGTCATGTGCAGACGCCCATGTCAAGTGCGTGAGACCACTTCGCATGCTTTCAGCGCAAGTGAGAAGGCGGTGCGTGGCTCACCCAAACGCGCCGCCTCAGGTCTCACCAGGGTCGAATTCTTATAATAAAAATTGACCAAGGCTCCTGCATCTACACCTACGATCCGGCGGTGCAGATTCCAGCCCCATCAGTGCAAAGCGTCAAGGATACGCATTAGCCGGGCGATATTCCTTCTCTTAACTCAGAAGCCGGGCGGTGTGCATCGTCGTACAACTCGTATCATATGTTGAACATATGATACGTTTACCACAGCCTGGGAGCTGCTTAACCCTCAGTCGCTTGAGGGCTTGAAATGAGGCAAGCCACATCCGTGGGAAACATTTGCAAATTGACATCAGGTGGAGCGCTGATATCCGGAATCAAAACTACGTACACTCCACGTGTACGGCATGTTGGTGGCAATTACCCTAGCTACTGCCACTGCCGGGTCCTAACTGAATCCCATGTCAGGGATTCCCTGTACCTTATTAACATCATCTTCACAAACCAATAGATATTTCTCCTTTCCAAATGCACATTATCGTCGGCAAAGAAGGATGCCAAAATAATTGGATACAAGGCTGCACGACAAGCCAAAGTCAACCATCCGAACAAGGATGCGCATGCACCCTGGCTTTCGACGGGCCGGGTCTTCTGTCCTTCCTACCTAGGCCTAGGTCCAAACAAAATACGGAGTCAACTGCATCCCTAGAGCCCATCAGATGCATTTTCCTTCCTGATTTACTGCTTCCTAACCGCTTGCTTGCTAGGTGCCATGGTCCAATGAATAAGGAAAATTTGGCTCCTTCGTCTAGAACCTATCCTGATCTGACCTACCCCTATGGGCCTGTGGGCAGCATGGTTCTATGCTACGGCCTATGGGCCGGGGCAGAGCATGGTCCTACCACCATGTCCTTATGCGCATGCTTGCTTTAAGAAGCCCCCGTGCTGATGCTGCCGAGGGTCGTCGTGATATTCGGGTTCTATTAACACCGCGCGCTGACGGATCCGGCGCCCGCTAGCGATGCACCTTTGCGAAGGAACGCCAGGTTGAACACCCCGCGGGCTCGCCCGCATGCGTTGGGCCGCAGCAGTGACAGCTCCAGGGACATCGTGTTGACTGCACACACAGGCAGGGAAAAAGGGAAGCGGTAACGGCGAGGATGGCGGATGGCGAACGGTGCGGTAAAAGGGTTGCAGGTCGCAGCTGCGGGGAAAAGAGGGCCCGAGTGGTCCATTGCCGAACAACAGGAAAGCGAGGTGAACCAGGGCCTCAGCTGTCATTGAGGCCTGCATACCCCTTACATCCCCCCTGTTAAAGAACACTGTACGGTAAACAGCATGAGCTAAGGATGAACAGACACGGCTCAGCCGTCGGGTTGAAACGATAAAGTGCACGCGCCCAGATGTGCACGCGCGATGGAGATCGCTGCTTCACTTAACATCGCATGTCTGTACGTCTCAACATGGCGTTTGCTCAGCAGTGCGCTTACACATGCTTTCGGAATCCGCCCCTCTCCGTCAAGCTTTTCCTGCGTCCGCGGCCGCTCACCTGTCTCCATGTACTGTTGGTTGATCTCCTGCAGAACGTGCGCCTTGTGCCGCGCCTCCTCCTCCTGCTCCCGCGCCTCCGCCGCCTCTATGCTGGTCGCGATGAGCCTTTGCGTCAGGGAGTTGTTCTCGTGCCGCAGGGCCGCGAGCTCAACGTCTCGTGGATCGCTCCCCAGCGGCAAGCCAAAGCCATCACCACCACCCGGCTGGTAGGAGCCATTCAAAGACGAGCCATACATGCCATCAAGTGATCCTGGGCAGCCCGGCTCGGCCATTCCTGAAACGGACGCGTGCGCCAGAGCGCTTGAAGCCAGAGTTAATCCAGGCACCAGCAGGGTGAATGGAGAAGCGCGCGTCGCAGCGGCGGCGTCGGTTGGCGTGTGACCAGCGACATATTGAACGGGGGCCTGGCCATGGGCGACCTGCCGCTCGTCTTTGGTCTGGTCGTGCTGCCACGTCTCGCTGACCTCCTGCAGCTGCTGTTGCAACAGCTGGCTCTGGTCCGCGAGGGCAGCCCTGTGCATGAAGCAGCAATAGCCGGGCGGCGGTCAAATGGTAGCAGCAGCAGCAGCCCGTCACGGGCGCAAGGATTACAGATCCGTATGTCGTGAACGATGTTGGTTGACATTACCCACGAATGGCAGTGAAGGTGATAACGGTAATGGGATGATGATGATGATGATGATGATGATGATGATGATGCCCATGACATGGCCATGACGCCAACCGCGTGCCGCTGCCAGGGCATGGGAAAATCCAGGAACACGACTCTGGTGGGTAGGCAGCGCATGCAAAGCCATGCAACGAACAGCGCAAACCGGTCGTGACCGGGAATCCCGTTTAGTAAGGACGCTCATTTCTTCGCATCGCTGGAGTCTGTCCTCCCCGGTCATCCTCATACTCAAGTCCTACTCCCCAAGCCCTCAATTTGCGATCCAGCTGTGCAGAACTTCTTCGGCCATCCTGGATTGTCACGGATTGTGTGACCCAGGAGCCAAGGCGAAGTGTGGATAGTCAGCGATGCTGGAACAGAGAGTTATTGCCTCAACTTGCCCTTCGGTGCATGTCAGTAAATCGCAGGAATCACAAGCCGCAGGCCTTTGGCGGTCTCACCTGGCGCGGCTCTCCTCGGCAAGGCGACGCTCCAGATCTGCGATGTATTCCTGGCACGCCAGGAGATGCACGCCCATCTCATCGCGCGCCCCCATCGCCTCCTGCATGGCGCGTTTGTGAAATTTACTGGGTTAGTAGCGGCAGAAGGAACAGCACTGGACCGGGAGGATTTTCTCGGCCAGGAAGGAGATAATTGCTGTCCTGCTAATTTCACACATGTTCGCTTAAAAAGGTTGCATGATGGAAATGCAGCGCAAACATGGACAACCAGTCAAATATAACCCGTTTTCATGTAGCAGCACGGTATCGGCACGTGTGCTTAGCATCACACCGGCGAATGGAACAGGATATAAAAGCTCGCCACGCCCCAGGAGATGCAGACACGGCTCCGTCGTGTGCCGTGTGCTTGTATATGTTCTATTGTGCAGCAAGACTTCGGCGCTGCTGAAAGTTCATGACGTCGGAACGTAAAGGAACGCCTCGCCAGCGGCGTTCTTCTGTGACCCGGGGTGGGTTCGCAATCATCCATTGCGTTGCGGTCCCTGGTCCTCATCAAAAATCTGGGTCAACGCGTGTGCCACTCATTCGCGCTTCCTACGCCCTATTCCAGGTCCCTTCCCAAGGCAGCAGCTTCAAAGTCGCAATCAACACAGCAACACGCTGCTCACCTCCAGTTGCAGCCGCAACGCCGCCACCTCCTCCGTTCGCAGGAGTAGCTGCCGCTGCAGTGCCGCGGCACGGTCCATGAGTTCCAACGTCGCGTACATGCGTCCGCTCCCTGCGACATCATCTGGGTCACTACCGCCGCGGATGGTCTCATCTGGGTCGACATGCCGCTGTCCGCGTAGCCTGCTGTCAATGGCCCGGCGCTCAATCCGCCGTCGGCGTACGCTACTCCGCGGCGATACATCGTCAACAAGGCCCCCCATCTGGCGCCGCAGGTAGCCCGCCAAGGAGGAGCTCTCCAGGCTGACGCGACCAGGCCGATCTCCTCGGAGCGCAACGCGACACAGCAGCGACGAGGCTGCCAACACAGCGGCGGCCGCTGCATTATCTGAGCTGTGCGGCGATGCCATCCTTTCGTCGAATCGGCGCTGCATGTGTTGCCGACGGCGGTAGGAGTGTTGCCGAGTGGTGGACATGGTAAAGAGTCGACGTGTAGGGCTGCTTGGGTATGGCGGCGGTGACAACCCAGAAACGGACGGTGAGTGGTCAATGGCGGCTGATAAGGGCTGCGTCCATGGCGACAGGCAGGGCGAGTCGTCGAAAAGGGGGTTGTTGAACGAGGGCGTGGCGCGTTCCTTGCGGGGAGTTGCGTAATCTGGATAGCAGGCCGCAGCAGCTCCCACGGCGGCATCTGGGTCGTCGCTATCGCTGGGCGCGCAGGCGCTGGGGCTGGGCTCCACCGGCGCTGACACCTCAAGTGCTACCAAGTCGAACTGGAACCGGGACTCCATAGGGCTCGATGGATGTGATGGTGTCGTATGGTTTAGCGGTTGCGTTGCCGAAACTGGCCGTCCGTTTGGCGAAGTTACGATTCTTCTGCTTGCGAGGGCTTCCGCGAGAGGGCTAGTAAAAATGGCTTCTTCATCCGAATCGCATGCGCCAGCCTCGTGGGTCGTGCGGATATGGTCAACCGTGATTTGGGTCGGGACGTCTAAAGCAGAGGAATCGCTGGCGCGTCGCGAACTGGCGCCACTTGCAACGGCCGTCGGACTGCCGGGAGTTTGCTCGCGGCTGAAGGCGACGACCGAGGGATCCCGAGTGATTGATAAAGGACTGTCCGAAGATGAACTGCTGCAGCTCGCGCAATCACCGGATCCGCATGAAGAGCTTCGCTGTCGCTGCTCCATCTTGGCCAAGGCCCTGAACGAGACGAGGTGTCCAAGGGAAACGGTGCTGAACAAGGCTGAAGGCCCTAAACGTTTATCCGTAAACAGGATGCTTCATTGTACAGCCGCACCTTCGCCTTATAAGTTCAGGGGCTTGTTGGACTGGCTGGACCTAGAACCCCCCCACCACGGCCAAACGCTCACAGAGCTCCTAAGTGGAAGAATTCATAAGGGCGTAATTGGTTCGTCCAACGTCCCTTGTGGAAAGGAGCGACGCTGCACGAGCACGTCGGGTTGTGACAGCTTGACTTTTGGGCAAGCGCAAAACGAAGCGTGGCCCTATGAAGAAGGTCCACAGTAGACTTTTGCACGGGTTTGTTAGCCTACGATAAAGGTCGGTTATGCCTTTCCTGCTCGAGTCAACCCTAGACAAGTACGAGGGGAAAAGTACGGGTTGCTCGCGCGAAACTTTGCAATCCGTAGGATGGTAGCTGGCTCCTTAATGCATGGGAGCCTGAAAACGCTTGCAATATAAACGTATTTGCTTTTTTTAGGTTCAGCTGTCACCGCCTGCAGCAGGATGCATGTAATGCCCTATCTAGTTTGCATGGAGGCATGCATGCAATATCGATTCACGTATATTTAATATGCATAAATCCAGCTTTTTCTGCTTATCGTGATATGATAATAACAAGAAGATGTACCTGCTAATGCGGCGTTTAGCCCCGGAACCAACCGTTGTAACCTCTTTTTCGCTTCATTACCGCCTCAATCTCTCCAGAGCTCTGTTGCCGTGGTGAACTTCTCTGATCTGCAGGATGGGATTGAGTATATGGGGGAGCATGAGTTGGTATGATGGAGTATACGGTAGTGCAGACAAATGTCCTGCCTGGCAAAGAGCAGCTATCCATCGTACATGTACACTTAACAATTTATGATGCCTAGGAGGGGAGCCATATTAAGCATCGCTTGAACCCTGGGTCATGTTCGTTATCTTTGTTTTGCACTATACAAGCATTTCCTAGCAAACATTCACCCTGATTTTTACATAAAATTAAACTCGGTTTCGTGGACAAAATTATATGCCGGCATAGTTCGCTGCTGAGAAACCTGCGGCCGCCACGCCACCGACAAGTTAGCGTCCCAGAGTCAGCCATAGGACGTGGATGCATCACGACAAGACAACAAATTGCAGTAAACGTACAAGCCTGGGTTTTGTAAGGCATTTGTCTGTGGTAGTGACGGGGCTCTTTTGCACTTTACGATATTTTTCTACGCATCCAAGGTGACAGTTGGGAGAAAAATGCTTCAGCGCTGCTCATCGGGTAGAGCATCCTTTTTAGGGCGCCGGGCCCTGTACTGTCCCCTCCCAACCGCCATCGTTCGCACGACAGCTCTGCAAAATGGTAGCCACGCTTCTGGCCCTAGCTCCTCTCCGCCCTATGAACCAATTCACGTAACCATCGTCGGCGGCGGCGCTGCCGGACTCACTGCCGCGTTCTTCGCGGCCGAGCATGGCGCCAGGGTTAGTCAATTGCACCTGCGTCACACCATCTCATTGGCTTTCACGCGGGCGATAATCTTAAGAGGTCTGGATATTATTAAAACTGGTATCCGTGTGCAATTATTGCAAGTCGCTGCAGTGGAACGTTAACGCTGCGGCAAAGTCGCGAGCAGCTGTGCATTCGCGTCCGTCTTGCTGTACACCTGCGGTTCCGCCTGCGCAGGCCGTGTCCAGTTCCCTGAAGTCTCCAGGACTATTTCCCCCTCCCCTCACTGCGTCTTCTCGTATCCCTAAAACCTGCCCCTGCCCCACGTCTATAGCTTCTCTACTACGCACAACGCCGCGGCAATCCCGCATTCCGGGCGCAAGCACCGCCACAGCCATGCACGCAGGTGCATGCATGCATGCACAGCACCTTTTCCGTAACCCTGCGTAAATCATACCATCCATACCACGGCCGCCCCCAATGCCACCACCCGTGGCAACAACTACAGCTCCACCAAGCAAACCAAGCCGCTGCCCACCATCACCACCACGCTGCCGTACCACTCACCCAGGTTACGGTTCTGGAGCGAACCCGCGAGGCTGGCAAGAAGATCCTCATGTCGGGGGGAGCCCGCTGGTGGGTGGGACTGGAACTGAAAGCTAGATCAGATCTCGTCGTACAAGAGGTTTTAATAAGATTTTGTTACAACACCTCACATCTGATATAGTCTGTTGGCGCGGAATTTGTATTAATAAGATCCGTAAACTTTGCTTGACATAATATTTTTTAGATATAATCCGTCAATAGGTTCAATAAGTTCATAAGGCCCGAATCCTCTGACGGCAAGTCCTCTGATACCCTCGGAGCCTCTGAGTCTTGGCGGCTAGGTAGGTAGTTTTCCGACATCATTTTCATTACATCATCCCGAGAGGTCGCCGCACTTCTCAAGAACGCCTTTTGGTCAGTCCTACTTCTGGTACACTCTTTCCCTGGCAGCAGCTTCACTCGTTCACGTGTTCGTCTTTCCCCCTCGGAGAGCCGCGTCGCCAACAGCACCAGCACCACCAAGCGCATTAAGATGCAAATCCACACACGCACACACACACACACACACATCCTATGAGCCACCAACTCACTCTCTGTTTCCGGAGTTACGGACATTTGAGTCATTGCTTATGACCACGGCAGTTTGGGACGTTGACAGTTGGCAGTTGACCATTTGCTTCTTGCGTGTATCTTATTTGCTCAGCAGCTGGTGATTTAGAAGTGTGTAACGGCAACGACAGCACACGTTGCTTTCCACTCCCTAAGAGATCTCCCGTTCGTAATAATAATTCCTTCCCTACGCATTTAAATTCTCGCATGCTGTGCCGTGCCGTGCCGTACAATGCCTGCTGGCGTTTCCTGTACTCCGGATCCCCTGGGCCGCAGCAACGTCCTCCCGTTCGAAGTGGACATACATACAGACTACTTCAGTGAGAGCAGCGCGAGTGCCGTACGTGCCGTATTTGCGTCCTGGAACCTCGACCTCTGCAAGGCTTGGTAAGCGGGTGGTGTCGGGGAAGGGGCGCAACGGCCGGGACAGCTTGGGTTGGTTGGCGGTTGGCGGTTAAGGGAAAGATTAATGTGTGCGACAGGGGGATAGCACAAGGGTGGCCCTGTCTTCTCTACCTCCTCCCCCTCCTCCTCGTGTGCTACTCGCTTGCCCTGGCAGCAGCTTCAATCGTGTGTGGTTCGTCTTTCTCCCCCTCCTCCTCCCTCTTGCCCTGCCCTGCCCTGGGCAGCTTCCGCTCCCGCCTCCGCGACAGTGACTCGTGTGGCTCTGGTATCTTCTCCCAGTGCCGCTCCCCTCCCATAACTCCCCTCTCCCCTCTCCACTCCCCGCCTATCCCCCCGCCGGTTCCCCCGCCCGTTCCAATAACATTTTTTTATTCACCGCCGTTTCATGACACAAGCAGCCGCACCCGCCACCCTGCACCTCACACCTCACACCTCTCAGCCCCCCCGGGCCCCCCGGCCCCCCCGGCCCCGCCCGGGCGGTGCATCCCCACTGGCCCCCCCAGGCTGGAGGACCCCCACTGGGGGGTGGGTCTGGATCTGCAGCTGGAGGAGGAAACTCGGAAGTACTTCCCCTCCAGCAACTCGGCGAGAGAGGTGACGGCGGGCTTTGGCGGCTTGTGCGGGGAGCGAGGGAGAGGAAGGGGGAGAGAGAGGAAGAGGGAGAGACAGAGGGCGAGAGGGGGATAGGGAGGGAGGGAAGAGGGAGGGAGGGAAGAGGGAGAGGGAGAGGAAAGGGGAGAGAGGGAGGGAGAGGGAGAGGCGGGAAATGCCCAAAGGGACGCAATCAAAGCCTCCCAGGGTGTAACCGGAAATGCAGGAGAGGTATTGGGGCAGTTGCAGGGCCGGGTCGGGCCGGTGGTTACCGGTGCCGCTGCTGCTGCTACTGCCAGCGCTGCTGTACTACTGCTGCTACTGCCAGCACTGTTGTACTACTGTTGCTGCTGCTACTGCCGGTATTGCGCAACCTAGAACTGTTGCGCGGCCCACATGCTACTACTGCTGCTGTTGCTGTTGCAGGTCCGTGACCGTTTAGTGGCGGCCTGCCAGGCTCGGGGTGTAGTCTTCAAGTACAATGCAAGCGTCGAGGGGCTACAACTGCTACAGACGCCGCAGGAGGAAGATGGGAATGTGCACGTTCCGCCTCCAGCGGTGGCGGCGGCGGCAGAGCCTCCTCAGGGCCCGGTTTCGGAGCCGGCGGTTTCGGAGGCTGCGACCGTAGGAGGAGTGGCAGGGGCGGCGGCGGCCGTGGAGGTGGTGGAGGAAGATCTTGGCGCTGTACGGCGCGCCAGCGCCGCCGCCGCCGGACCAGCAGGTGTTGACGGTGTAAGTGGCGGCGGCGGCGGCGGCGGCGGCGCTGGCGGTGGTGAGAAAGGCGTAGGGGGCGGCAGTGGTGCGCGGAAAGGCAAGAAGGGGCGGGGCCCTAGGATCAGCGGCGCCGAGCTGGCAGTAGCAGTAGCAGCAGCGGAAGCGGAGGCAGCAGCCGCCTCCAGCACAACCAATGCTACAGCCCAGGCCCGTTGGCTTTGCCGGTTGCAAGACGGAACGGAACATGTAACGGATAAGCTGGTAGGTTCCGGATTCCACTTAATGATCTTGTTTGCTCAGAGAATTGGGTTCGGGACAATGTATCTGATGTGTCCTGGTTGATGGCCGTTGAAGCGTACGGCAGTTCGTACAGCCTTGTGAGGGCGTTACAGCTTCTCCCACATCGCACCCCTTCCCCCCCTGTGTACGACACCACCACCATCACCACCATAGTTAGGGTCAGTCAGCCGCCGAAACCCTTTTCCCAATTCTAAACCACCCACCATCATCCCGCCGCTGCATTCCGTACACAATTTTCCTACACGACACGTTTCCGTACACCCCTTCTCAGCCCCCCGACCCGCACCTGCCGACATCTCTCCACACCGACCCGCCGGATGGTGACTAACCCGCATGAAGCTGTTTCTGCCGTACTACCCGTCATCAGGTCATCGCCACCGGCGGCCTGAGCTTCCCCGCCGTGGGCACTGACGGCACCGGTCACCTCCTGATCCGCGCCCTGGGGCACTCCCTCCATGAGCCGTACCCGGCTCTGACACCCCTCACGGGCGCCCACCCGGCAGGAGGGCAATTGGCGGGTGTGTTTTTAGTTAGTGTGGTAGTGTGTATGTGTGGTAGTGTGTGCGTGTGGGGGGGTTAAATGTGTGTCTGGGGGTTTCGTAGTGTGTGCGAGGGGGGTGGAGAGGGTGGTAAAGCCCCCAAAACACACACGCACACGCACACGCACACACATCTGATGTCGATCGCGATGTGGCCTTATCGGGTTCTCCTCCCCTTGTTGTATCCTTCCCCCTTCAGTCTTTCTTTGCCATCAGCTTCACTCGCTCGTGGTTCGTCTTTTCCCCCTTCCCCCTTCGGCATATGAGCAGCTGATGTTTTGCTTCTTGCTTACCCGCGTCTCCACACCCCAGGTGTGTCCATGTACGGCATTGAGTTGTCCGTACAGGTGCCCGGTGTACGGCGGCCAAAGTTTTCTGAGCGTACGGCATTTCTGTTCACGCACCGTGGCTACAGCGGCCCGGCGGTGCTGGATCTTAGTCATTATGCGGTCAAGGCATTGGCCCGCGGCCACGGTGCAGCGGCGGCGGCGGCGGCGGCGGTGAAGTCGGTTGCTGGCGCCGCCGCTACAGCCGTCGCCGGCAGTAGCGGGCGTTACGTCGAAATGGGTCTTCCGTCCATTCACGTGAACTGGACGCATGAGTCAGCCGAAGTTTGGGACGAGCGGATACGGGTCAGTGGGAAACATGTTCGGTCAATATGGTCATGTATTCTTGGTACGACATGACAATAGCGTTTTCGTTGAATTATGACCAACTTACCTGTTGTGGTGAGGGACGGGGGGGGGACACAACACCGTGCTGACACAGGTACTCTTTTTTACCTCCTCTGCTGCTGCCGTACAATGAAGATGTCGTACGACGGCGCCGAACAGGCCGATTCCGTCGCGTTCCGACAATCCTTTGATGCATCGTACCACGACAGTGCTTGCGGGAAGACGGGCATGGAGAGGCGTTTACTTGCATGCATGTGTGTGCGTGTGTGTGTGTGTGTGTGTGTGTGTGTGTGTGTGCATGGCAGCCGCCATCGCGATGCTACACACGATGATGCTACACACGTGATGTTTTGTGTGCTGTGATATGGCACACGTGCTATGCCTACACGTGCAGGCCGTACAGCAGGCTGGCGGTACGGCACTCGTGACGACGCTACTGCAGCGGCACGGGGTGCGTGAGCGGCTGGCGGAGGCGCTGGTTTCGGAGCTTGGCCTCGTGGACCGCCGTGTTTGCGATGTCAAGAAGGCGGAGCGAGCGGCGCTGGTGGGTAGCGGTTGAATTTTCCTTAGTTTTCGGTTGACCGTTGCAACGACCGTGAAGAAGAGGGATGGGCATGATTTCCATAGTTTGCTGGAATATCGTCAAAATCGGTTTTTTTGGTTGGGTGGTTAGGAAGAACAGTCGAGCAGCAGAGCATTAAAGCGCCAGGTAACCGCGAGCGCCATCACAATATCCTATTTAAGCACTAACCACGTCCACATGCAGTACAGGTGTCCGCACTGACGTCGTACGAGCTGCCGTACAATGGACATGAGGGCTACAAGAAGGCGGAGGTGACTGGCGGAGGCGTGCGGTTGGAGGAGATCAACTGCGCCACCATGGAGAGTCGGGTAGGTGGTTGGTAGTTAGGTAGTTGCTGTTTCGTTCGTTTGACAACTGATTGGACTGCCTGATTCGAACACACGACACTTCATGTTTCTACCACTATTCATCATGTTATTTCTGATGAGCCCCTTTCCCTTTCCCCCATTTCACTCGTTCGTGGTTCGTGGTCTTTCCCCCTTTCCCCTTTTGAGCAGCTGCTTCCCAATTTATTTCTGTGTGGAGAAATCCTGGATGTGTTCGGTCGCATCGGCGGATTCAATTTCTACTGGGCTTGGGTTTCGGGGCGGCTGGCGGGCATCGGAGCTGCACAGGGCGGGTTGCGCCCCAAAAAGACAGCCAAAACCAACAACAAGAACGCCGCCGCCGCCGCCGCCGCCGCGGCCGCCACGTCAGCTCCTCCATGACAGCTTCTGGCGGCGCTGCTTACCCCCGGCTGGTGCTACCGCTGCTGGTACAACAGCAGTAGCAGTAGCGGTAGCAGTAGCAGTAGAACTTCAAGGACAAAAAGGGCAGAAGGCTGTAGCGCCACACTCACTTCGAGCAGTAGCAGTAAAAGTAATGGCACCAATGACAACACCACACTCACACACATACATACACACATGTTTTTGCGGATATAGCTGTAGGGTTTTTCACTCGGAAGCTAGAGGATGGTGTTGGAAAGTATTTCCCCAATATTCCCAATATATTTTTATCATTATTATTGAAGGTGATTTGAGGCTTGTTGGCTGTCGTGATTGAGGTATTGGATGGATTGATTGATGGAAGGAGGGGATGGGCTGGTTGGCGGGTGTCGTAACGTACGGAATAAGGTGCTGGGTTAGGTCGGGCGCCCTCCCGAAATGTGACCGAGGCAGACGTGCCTTTGTCCACCTGTTTTTATTTGTCGTGGTGATGGTTGGTGAAACCGGAGCTGGTCACTCTTGTGTGCCCCCTGCAAAATGTTACCGAAAGCTTACGAGGCCACCACCACCATCACTACCGCACCACCAATACTTGTACTGCAAACGCCTTGGTGGCGGCGCCGTCAATCTCTGCTTCTCTCGTTATCATTGGTTGAGCTCAACTGCCAACCGTTTCCGCACAGTTTCCGGAGTACGACACGTCGGGACCGGCTTTTTACACACCAGTCTTGTTATAATATTATAAAACATATACGTACTCCACCATCCAGATTGAAATGAAAACTAAATGTTGTGGTGGCGACACTGCCGTACTGGCGAACCTTTGTACGTCAGACGTAGCGGCCGTTGCGCCTCCGTAGTTGCGCCGTACATTTCGCGTACATTCGCGTACATCGCACAGCCCCGACGATATGTTTGCTTTCATCATCCTTGACAATGCGACAAATCCTTTTCATCCCCACGAGCTGTCATTGGGTCAAGGACAATTATTTTCTTGAGGAAAGAGCCGCACACAGTTGTTTAACTGGCAACGGTCATATCGTGGTACGACCAATAATGGTACGACAAGGAGTTAAGGCGGCCACACAGTGGTATGGCCATTAGTGGTACGACCAAGAACGAAGGCGGCCAAAGTTAAGGCGGCTGATGACGGGGGGAGAGAGCGGGAGAGCGAGCGGGAGATATGCTGCAAAAAGAGATGAAACGCATGGCGATAGGCATTCCATGTCATCAGCGAATTTGCGAGGTGTGTACAGGTGTGTACACTGCCGTACACAGATGTTCGTACAGTCGTGACGCACTACACACAGCGACAAAAAACAAATCAGAAAAAGATCTAAAACATCTTAAACTGCGAGTGAAACCTAACACATTTTATGCCTACTACCTAACAAAAACGCAAACCTCATACTGACGAAAGAAGATTGCGAACTTGACAACAGACCCGACTTCCCCAATATTGCTGCAGCCCAGGAACCTGCAGGAACCGCCTTCCACTTTTCGGTTAAGTCCCCTGATCTAAGTACAAGTAAAAAAAACTTTTTCCCCAAACGCCCCTGCCACCGAAGTAGACTTAAAATCCCCTCAATCGTCAAATGCAAACTTCTTCGTCGCTCAATTGCAGCAGCAGCACCACCACCACCAGCAGCAGCACCACCATCGCATGGCAGGCAGGAGAGAAGCAAACAACATCACAACCCTGACAACAACAATGGCAGCTACACTACAATCCCAGCAGAAGAACAGCAGAGCATGAAGACTTCTTGAAAGCTTCTTCAGGAAGAGTTCCATACGAGAGTACGACATATTGCCGTACAGTATCCATTGCCAAGCAATGGCGGATGGATGGATGGCAACCACCATTCAGCTCAGAGCCGAGCCCCGGTTTAAACCCCAGGCGGCTAAGGAGGTGGGGAAAAGGCTCGTTGCTACAAAGCAGAGCTACACACATATCGAGCTATACACATATTCGAGAGAAAAACAAACTGAAAAAAACAAAGCTTCAAAAGTTTTTTACTCTCTGCACAGCGACACGCATTAAACATATACACACGCACACAAAGCCGCCCCGACCCGTTTCAAACCACCAACATCAACTAACATCAACAGCAAACCGAAAACGAACCTTTCAAAACCAATTCGGCTCCTTTTGCAACACCTCTCCGCCATCAGCCGCTTTCGATGCGAGTAGGCTCGTCCAGGATCCAGACTTTCCTTCTTCTTCTTCTTCTTCTTCTTCTTCTTCTTCTTCTACACTCTGCACTATACGCAGTTACACTGAACTGAAGTACTGTCACCCCACCAACCCCTCCGGGAAACGGGCTTCCTATTCAACTTTTCCAAAACACACACATACATACACACACACACACTTCTAATCCACATTTCAATACATTTTCAAAATACAGCGTAACAGCAACAAGCTTGGGAAGCCGCGATATGTCTTTTCCTTCCGTACAGTATACACACATACATACATACATTACATACATACATACCGCACACACACATACATACATACACACACAGAGGAATTACCAGTATATACTCCACCCCACCTGAGCCCCAAGGTGGAAAACGCCCGAGAGCACTCATTGGCCCCCCCCCCGGGTTTCCTTTCCCCCCCTTCCCCCTCCACTCTTCCGTCGCCTTTCTTCATTTGCACTCCCAAAAAAGACTGCCCCTCTGTTCTAATACACAGTAGTCATACACGTGGTCCAGCAAGTACGTTACGTTTTTCCGTCCTTACAGCGCCCCCCGTTTTTCCGTCCTTATGGGCCCCCCCTCCCGTACGACACACTACACTCCAACATACATACACGTATACACCCACCCACGACACGTTCATAATCTAACGTTGCGTTTCGATGTACGTTGCAATGAGGGGCGACATGCATACATGAAACACATAACCGTACATTTGTGCGTATGTACGTACGTATGTGTCTTTGATGGATGCATGTATGCATGCGGCGACGCAAGACAGATGCTGCTGCTCTCCTAAAACGCCAGCAGACATCACATATACCCATAGTCAAAAGTACAGACATACATATCGAGGAAGTGTGTGTGTGGGGGGGGGGGAGACGAGCCACGTCGTGGATCCGGAAAGGGGAAAAACACACGCGTGCCAACCACGGCGTCAATGGCAGGACAGAAACCCACAGATCCCTCTCTCCCCCCTTCCCCCTCATATCCAAGTACACCCCCTGCCGTCGTACTATCAGCTTATTGTGGCAATTTTACAAACAACAGCAGCTTTTCGTTCCCGGCACGGCCGTCGTACAGGCTGCCTTAACAGCAGCCTGTCCTTTTCTTCTTCGCCTTGGCTTCACAGCAGCCGTACAGGAAGCTTCTTGGCGGCCAGCGCGCTGACCGCTCTGAGGGCCCCCCGGGGCACTCGCAGCGCCGCACTCGCCGCCTTGGCCAGTCCGCGACCCACCCTCCAGCCGCGGCTCATGCCCGCCAGCACCACATTGACACTCGTGTGTACGGCAGAAAGGTACCTGAAAAGGCGACGCATGGGCCCACCAGTCAACGGTATATCTGCAAAGTACATATTTATATATTTTTAATATATTTAATATTATTCTTATATATTTTTGATTTATTTATTTTATATTTTTATATTTTTTGTTGTGTTCACATTTCTTAACTGAAGGTACATTAGCTGTATTGATCAGCTGACTATGAGTCAGCAAGGGCGCTGGACAAGGACAACTAACAGTCTTGTTTGTCCTAACTACTAACAGAAAAAATGGCCCCCACTCACGAGCTCACTCACTCTTTCCCCCTCCCCAAAAAAACACAGCCACGCGCTCACCCGCGGAAGAAGCCGACGACGCTGCCCGCCACCAACCCAAGAACGGATGTGTAGACCAGCTCCGAAACCAGAGCGAACGCGACACAGGCCACCGCCTACACAACAACCCAGCAGGCGCAACGCGTCAAATAATGTATCAGTGGCAGTTGTGTTGGTAACAGCCGTACAGGCTTCCGTTAACAAAAATACGACACGGCAGAGGTTAAGGCCTGGCTTCTGCTCCCGGCGCGTCCGGGTTCAAACCCGCCTGCCGACCTCTCGGGGTGTTTGAGAGGTGATGAAATGGGAGGTGACCCCCCATCTTGTGGACGGTGTAGGACGTGATAAAATCAACTTGCGAGCTGACCAGGAACTAAGTTGACGCGCCGTTGATCCGCTAGATTTGGTTGGATGCCGGTGGTGAGTTGCCAAACTCAAAGAGTACACTCTGAAGTCGGATGGGGTGAGTGGATTAGGGTGCCCCTCTAGCAGGGGAGAGCAGGGAACTGCCTCGGGAAGGAGGCCACTGGTGAAGCTTAACCACCCTGTAACAACATCAACACGGACGACACACTCCCACGAGTAGAGCGGAAATACGGAAGCAATTCCTAAGTAGGAAGTGGGTAGAGTGAGTGAGTGAGTGAGGAAAGACGAACCACACACGATTGAAGCTGCTGCCAGGGCAAGAGAGTAGCAAACGTAAAAACTGACCGAAAGGCGTCCGTGGCGACTGTGACGACTGTGACCTCGGGATGACGAAGTGACGTTGATGTCGGAAACCCTACCTACCTAAGCCGCCAGAATTAAAAAGCTGAATAGTATAGCCAAACCGTAAAGAAGTAGGTGTAAAAACTGTAGTAGTGAAGGCGGCGAGTAAAATAGTGCTGTCGTAAAGGTGACCTAAAGTTGCTGGCCTGGAGAAAAGGCTGATTTGCTGATACTGAAAGGCTGTCGGTATGCAAGTGCTCCTCCCAACCCCCCCCCAAAAAAAAAACTAAAACGCGCGACTGACCCGACCGACCCGACTAATCTATTCCGGCTAGCCTACCGACGCCAACGCGATAAATCAAAGAAGCTCGAACCACCCTTTGGACTCACCTGGCCAGGCCGCAGAAGTAGTGGCAAAAGGCACATGCAAAAACAAAAGGGTAGCAAAGAGGTGAGCCGGGTGCGATAAAGGACAAGGAGACATGCGAATGCTGCTGAGGAAAAGTAGTAGCTGGCTGGCTGATTTGAAATTTTGACTAAGGAAAAATAAAGGAAATGGAAACGCTTAAGAAAGGAAAAACAAGCGAAGTGTCGTACCGGATGAAGGAATGATGACGCAATGAACGATTGCATAACAGGAAGTAAAGGCGTAACGGGGTGAGAGCAAGAAGGGAAATAATAATAAAAAACAAAAAACAGTGCGAGGGTCGGGGCCACATATGGCTCCCGCCAAACCGTGCGCACCAGGAGCATCTGCATGCAGCTCCGTGGTGCCTAAAAGAAGGGGCAAGAGTAAACGAATGAGGGGCAGGGAAAGAAGAACTACAAAAAAGTGAAGGTAATTGGGGGCAGGGTAGAGAGGAAGGAGAATTAGGAAGCAGGGTAGGGGATCAAGGGCCATGAAGTGGACTTCAAAATTCGTGTTGAGACCCGATCCGTGAACAGGGGGGAAAGTGCGAAGTCGTTGTACCCAGAGCATTTCCCGGGCTTGGCAGATGGAACGGTAAGGAAGTGGTCGTGAAGAATCGGGAGGGGGAAGGTTTTCAAGTGGGAAGAAAAAGAGGTGTGAAAGGCCGGAAGCCCAGATAGCTTGCTGAAAACGGCAGGCTCGTGACCCGATACCGGTAGAGCTAGTGCGGGAGTAATGGGCAGCAGTGTCGTAAATGTGATGACTGATTCGTTGAGAAAGGTCGAGGGTGGTGTGGCCGACATAAAAACCGAGAAAGGGCGCGCGCAGGGAAAATGCGGCGTAGACAACTCCGTGAACACGGAAAGGAGCTTGATTAAGTAAGTGAATGGTGGAAGGGGAGACGTGGGCATTGCGCACAGCGATGAGGTAATCAATAGTAGGGGACCGGTTAGGGTTATTAATATTAATAGCTCCAGGGAGGGAGGGAGGGAGGGAAGGCGCCGGACCCTAATGTTCCGAAAAGCTATACCAGCACCAACAGGACGTGGTGGCATGTCGTACAACGTAACCGTAAGTGTACGGCACATGCGTCAATGCATCGTTGTCGCAGCGGACCAGTACCGCATGGCGGGTTATGGGGGAGTGGTTGGGCTATGGTCAAGGGAGGCTACACCATACCGCAAGAAGCGGGGTAATGAGGTTCGAGGCCGGGAGAAATGAACGCGCCTCATCGCGGCCAGTGCGCTTTTACAATCACACTTACGTTCGTACTTGTACGACCAAAAAGTTCCCACCTGGGCCCCTGCTGACTGCTCCCCTTTCTTCTCCCCCCAACCCCTTCCAACCCGCCTGTCCATCTGTACGGCTCTCTGGACCCCACACGCCCCCTCAAGAACTCCTCATCTTAGCGGCGGCGACAAGTCCCCAGACAAACTGAATTGTCCGACCATCCAATCATATTCTAGCAGCAAGACTCTCACCCAGTCTTAAATCGAGCTCGTTCTCATCCCCCTCCCCTTCAATCGTGTGTGGTTCGTCTTTCCCCTCCCCTCCCCTCCCCTCCCCCGCGGCACCTGGCACCAGAGCAGCTCCGCGTAAGGGGTTCCCAAGAGATCGCCCAGCGCCGACAGCAAGTTCAGAAGGATGCTGGTCTGCTCCTCCACCTGCGGGTGACCAGATAGGTAGTTACTAGAAAACAAAAAATTAACTCGAATAGACATGCGAGTATTGAGTCGCGTTGCAGTCGCGTTGTTCATTTCACGGGGTCGCACTGCGCAAAGAATCTGGCTTGGTGGTTTCGCCGTACAGCTCTAAGACTCCCGGAGGCGTTAAGCCTCCTTCCCCAGGGCAGCTCCGGAACCCACCAGCGTTTTGCCCATGCCGAAGCCGGCTCGCAGCCCTGCCGCGCCCGCGCGAGCTGCGCCCATCACGCTGCTCCCAACGACGTACAATTTCCAGCAACGGTACAGCAAATCCGTGTACGACCTACAGTTAAGCAGATCCAGCACTTGCTGGCTTGCTCGGGAAAGCTGCGAGAGGCGGGGGCCGGGAAGGGTGGGGGAAGGTTTTGGTCAACTGGGTGGTAGGGGAAGGATCGATGTGCTAGGGGACCTGGAGAGCCGTAAGGGGGAATGGGTGGGAATCTTCCGGAATTCGGTGACAGGCGAATGTAGGACAACGCGGTCGTTTTCGTTTAAAAAGCAAATCGTTTATTAACCAGAGAAACCTCCGGAACAGAGAAATAGCTTCTGGCAATTGCGTCCTCACCAATCGCGACACGTAAGTCCACCATCCATTGTTGCCGCGACTTCTGCTGCAACTGGGCGTTGCGTTCAGCTTGTATGGCTGCTTGCAAATTTCGCAATGCCGCGCCTTTCGAAACTGGCCTTGTGAGCGGAGAACCTGTTACGCAAGCGGTTGCAAAACGTCCATGGGTCTTTGGACGAACGACAAGGCGTAACTTCTGCCAATGTTGCACCTCAACCATTTGGACCTCGAACTTACCTGCTGCCAGTCCTCAAGGCACTTAACATGCATGTAATTCAGACTCCCGGCGCACTTGCATGGTGACACTAGGGCGAGACCCAGGGCAGGGTCACCTTCTTCGCCCCAGCAGATTCTGCATTGACGGGTGTCTGCGCTGCTACTATCCTCAGCCTCATCCATGCCAACGACCGGTATTTCCACGGAATAAAACGGCGGTGTACACTCCACCTGCTGAACCTTTTGCAATGAGAAAGGACTGAAGACCCTTAGTGCAGTTGCATCGTCGGGTTGAAGAAGTGCGGACTAGAAGGAGGGCGTGGGCTGTGAAAGACGTTTCTAACTCCGAAACCGCATTTGTACGTGACTGTTATGAACCCTGGAGACTTTCAAGCGGGGCAGGCGACTGTAAACGTGAATTCCCAACTATTGGTTAAGCGGTATTTTATAGGTAACTATGGAAACTGCGAAAATGCCCAAAAGCGCGATACATGTACTTCTGGCCTCGACCCTTGGACCTGATTGCCGTGTATAGTTCCGAATCCCCAGCGTGCTGTACGGTGATTTTGCCGTATCACCGAAAGCACAATCCCTCGGGCAGACGCAAACGATGCAAGTCGCGGGTTCTCGTCTACTCAAGCAGTCTCCACGGTCCACAGTCCGCAACGAACGCAGACGACAGCACATGGAGTCCAGTCGCCAGCCAAGCTGCGGAAGTGCGCACAGAGCACGCAAATCTTACAGCGAGGACCTCTACACTCCGCAACTCAGTCTCAACTTCCAACCCAGGCCCTCCCATGCTTTCCTATTTGCACACTACTCCAAGTCATCCACTTAAAACGTCAGCCAGTCCAACGCTCTGCTGCGATCCTCCTCAGTCAACGTCTGGCGCCCGAGCAAAGCCACAGCAGCCGCCCACCAACCATCCAGCATGCTCGCTCCTCCATAAAGCTCACGAGGAGGCGGGAGGGCCCCACCATCCCGCCACCGCCCGTGAAACCGTTTGCCGCCAATCGCGTAGCAGCCCCGAAACCGCTCGTCGTTGCGCCACTGCGATGCGCTCCTGCTCCTGAGCCACAACTGCCGCCACCAACACGAATACAGCGGGGTCCAGCCAGCCTTCCTGACCCCTTCGACCGTAGCCAGCCCACTCGAAGTACCAGCCGCCCACATCATGCGTGTCTTCCCTACCGGCGTCGTTCGGCCCAACAAGAAGAGGCGAGGGGATCGAAGATTGGAAGGTCGAACACGTGACCCAGATCAGATCAGACGATGCTTGGGCGCTTCAGGATGTCCAAAAAAAGCCGACCCAGATCAGATCAGGTCCGATCCGAATTGCGGAAACTCAGAAGCTTCAGGAAACAACTGACCCAAATCAAATTAGATCGGATCCGGACAGTTGATCTTCAGGTGCTTGCGGAAAAGCAGCTGACCCAGATTTTGCCTCCCTTCCCTTTCCCCCAGAAGTTCTTAGGACACCGGCAGCTGCTTCCCTTCATAACCTTTTTTGCTGCTGCACATAATTTCCCTTCCATGCTTCCCTTTCCATTCAAGTATACGGGCCAACTACTGATAGCTAGCTGATTACCTGCCACTCACCGGGGTGGAAATAGCCAGGTGATGCTGGGCAGCAAACGAGCTCTCACACAGCGACACAGCAGCCTCAATCTCTGAACGCCGTCGGAGGGATTGTGGATGGCGAAGAAGTGCATGGTGCGCAGACCTGGGAAGCTGCCGCGCACGATAAGCGCCACTCGCCTACCTGCGGGGGGGGGCGATGAGGCGGGGGGGCGGGGAGGCGGGGGGGCCACGCTCAGGGGCTTCTTCAGGTCGTTAAGGAAGAGGAGAAAGAGGAGGACAAAAGCCCGACGTACCCTCCGTGTCGTACACATGGCAACCCTCGACGCCCGCATTGAGTTGCCCGTTGACGTACACTTTGACTCGGCCCTCTAATACGGGCCCAAACAGCGGCACCATAAGGCCCCCGTCGGGATCCTCTGAAGGGGGGGAAGATCTAATGCCGGCCGTGCCGTCGTCGCCGCCGCCGCCGCCGTCACTGCCAAGTTCATCTTGCCCGCAAATAGCTCCGGAATCATCTTGCCGACGACGACGACCCTCCTGCTGCTGCCGGTGCTGACGGTGCATCGCCACCTTGCGGGTGTCTGCTCGGCCGGTGGTTACCGTTGACGGTTGGCGTCCGTTAACTGCACCCATGGAGTCCTCTTCGGCAGCCATGGCCGTCGGTGATGGCGGCAGCGGAGGAAGCTGATGTACGGCAAACGCCGCCAGGTCTTGGCCGAGCCGCATCTCCAGCACTACGGTTGCGCCCTCACCGCCGCCGCCGCCGCTGCTGCTGCTGCCATCACCACCCTCGCCGTTAGCATACGTATCTGGGATGTCTGGGCCGAATAGCCATTTGCGAGGGCTGTTAAAGGGCTGTGAAGGGCGACCTGGCTTCTTGCGCGCTGCTGCTGCTGCTGCTGCTGCTGCCGCCGCAGCGGCATCAGTGCTGCCCGCTGCGGCCGCAGCTTCCCCCGCACGAGCGGCCTCCGTAAGCGCCTGGCGTGCCGAAAAAGTGAGGCCAGAAACAATTAGTCCGGTAGTAGGAGGCAAGCATTGCCTTACCATAAGTTGCCAGTGCACGGACACCGTACGCTGTCAGTGCACGTACGACATGTCAACGCATCATCAAAGGGGTTAATCCCCATCTTGTCGGCTCAAAGCATTGCCGGGTGTGACTGCGTGCTACTATACGGCAGCCGTACATGCTCGTGTACGGTGTCCTGCACTGCGGCGAACGACGGCCCTGCGAGAGCTTTGCATGCATGCATATGTTAGGTATACAACTTCAGTGAACCAACCAACCAACCAACCAACCAATCGAATGTCGTACCTGGAGCTGCGGCGGTGGCGTCACCTCGGCCAGCAATCCCTCCACGTCCTCCTCCCAACCATCCTTCCGTCTAGAAGTTTCTCCTGACATTTCCTTGGCCGCTAGTATTTGCGGCGGCTTATTCCCTGCCGTCGTTGCCTCCTGCTCCTCCTCCGCCTTCTCCTCCGCCGTCTCTTCCTTTTCCAAACCCGTCACCATATCAAACGTGCCGGCGGCGGAACCCTTGTCCCCGCTTCTCCCCGCAGCATTCGCATTCTTCCGCCGCCAGCGCCTCATCATCTGCCGGCCTCCCAAGGCTGCCGTACCGTCGCGCGCCTGCGCCGCCTCCGCCGCCGTCACCAAAGAGATCTGCATGCTGCGACGCTGCAGTACAGCGGGATCAGGGTAGAACCCCTGGAGCTCTAGGAGCCCTCGGAGGCGGCTGTAGCCGGGTACCAAATGGCCGTAGCCGCCAGCGGCGTCGGCGTCGCTGCGTGCGATGCTAGCGGCTGCCAACTGTATGACAGCTTCATCGGGCAGGCCGCGAATGGCGGCTGGGTCAAGCACGTCTAGTGGGTTGATGCCGCCGCCGCCACGGCCGTCGCCGTCGCCGTGTATCCTGGCGAGGGCAGCTGCAGACGCGGTTGCCGTGGAAGGCGTACGGAGAAGCGGCTCCAGGTCACTTTTTTCGCTGTCGCCGCAGTCACCTGCAGGGCCTGACGCGCCGACGGGGCGTGGTGGGTCGATGGGTGCGGCCGTCGTGACCGTTGACGCCGCCGCCGCCGCCGCCGCAGTGACCTCCGCCGCAGTGATCGCCGCTGCCGCCGCCGCGGTCTGTACGCCTGACGCCGCCGACACCTCCAGACGCAGCCGCTCCTGCGGGAGACCGTTGAGGAGGATATTGCGTTTTCTCTGTGTGCGCGCATGCCGGGGTAGGGCGTCAGCTGTCCGCCACCGCTGCCGTACCAATCGTACCTTTGTCGTACCATCTTCATACCGCCGTCGTACATATCTCCCCGTGATATGTCCCCTCTGGTCATCGCTCTAGCGCTCTGGCAACACATTTGACATCGCAAATTTCTAAAATGGGCCCCCGCCTCGCCTCGCCACTCATACCTACCCTCCTGCCACTCACACCTACCCTCCTGCCACTAACACTACCCTCCTGCCACTCACACCCAAACAGCGTCATTTCACAAAATCTTTTCCAAAATGGGCCCCACGCCACGACCCACGGGTCTTGGACCCACCTGCACTCGCACCACACCCAACAGAGTGCGCCCCGAAACCAGCTGCATGATCTGGTCAGAGGCTCCAGGGTGGCGACGTAGATCCGCCTCGAAGCAGCGAGGGAGCTCTCCGGGTTGCAAGTCAAGTCTGTGATGACGGTTTGGGGGGGTAGGGCCGGGAGGAAAGGGTGACGACAGACAACGATGCGAGTGTAAAATAAATAAAATTTAATAAAATAAATTTAATAAAATAAATTTAATAAAATAAAAAATTTAATAAAATTATCATAAATTTAAAAGACGACATACAACATATGTTTAAATTGCGCAGGTGGTTGGGCCAGGCGGTTGCTAGTTAGTTAGCGCTGAGAAAAACCGTTGCAAAGGGAGTTAAGACGCCAGCCCAACCAGTAGCAGAAGCAGCACTAGCAAAAGCAGTGAAAGCAGAGTAGCGACAGCATCAACAGCAGTAGCAATAGTAGCAGTAGCAATAGTAGCAGTACCAATAGTAGCAGTACCAATATCAGCAGCAGCAATATCAGCAGTAGCAATAGCAGCAGTACCAATAGTAGCAGTACCAATAGCAGCAATAGCAGCAGTACCAATAGTAGCAGTACCAATAGCAGCAATAGCAGCAGTGGCAATAGCAGCAGTACCAATAGCAGCAGTAGCAGTAGCAGCAGTACCAATAGTAGCAGTCACAATAGCAGCAGTAGCAGCAGTACCAATATCAGCAGTAGCAGTAGCAGCAGTACCAATAGTAGCAGTACCAATAGTAGCAGTCACAATAGCAGCAGTAGCAGCAGTACCAATAGCAGCAGTACCAATAGCAGCAGTAGCAGTAGCAGCAGTAGCAATAGTAGCAGTAGCAATAGCGATACGCACTTGGGTCCCAGGTACGCGTGTACGAGCGCCGCGTGCAGCTGGCTCTCAAACTCATGGCAGTACTTGCGAAGGTAGTACTCCAGAGCAGCGGTACGGCCTGTCTCAAGTACGGCACCGTACACACGTACGTACGACAAGGAGTGACAGTGAGTACAGCGGGGCTTTGAATGCAGCTGGATTAGAGGTGGTGGTGGGGTTTGAAGGAGGCCGAGGAGTGGAGCAGTAGCGGGAGAGACTTTACAAAACCGAGCCGGAGGGAGTGCCGCTGCAGCCGCCCGCTGCCTGCTCGCTTGCTGCGGCCGCTGGTGACGAGGCGGGAGTCTGGGTGTGGATGTAGATGACGTGCGACTCGTCCTGCTGGAAATTGGACGAGAATATATACAGACATGTATACGAGAATATATATGTAATATTATATTCCGCCCTGATGATGCGCCGTCCAAGTCATCATCACCAGCTGGATTGAGGCCCATCGCCAGCAGCCGACACAAATCCACATCTCAGCAAAAGCAGCCACCACCACCACCACCACCACCACCACCACCACCACCACCACCGCCACCACCACCACCACCACCACCACCACCACCACCGCCACCACCACCACCACCACCACCACGTACCCGCAACGGGCTCTCGCCTCGTCCTCCTCATCATCCACTCGCCCACACCGTATCTCCAAGACCTGAAATCCACGAACCGAAGATCACCGCTGCCTGATCCAGGCTCAGATCTGGATCCATCGGATCTGGATTCAGTGTTCGTCCAGTCATTGGTCGCCGCTTGCCGCTGCTGCCGCTGCTGCCGCTGCTGTCGCTGGGCAGGCTGAGTTCCCGACCCAGATGACACCGCGGCAGTAGCGGCCAGCTGCATGTCGTACGACCGTCTGCGAAGGCAGGATATGGATATATGAGGCCGTGGGGTTGTTGGGTGGGGTTGTTGGGTGGGGTTGTTGGGTGGGGTTGTTGGGTGGGGTTGTTGGGTGGGGTTGTTGGGTGGGGTTGTTGGGTGGGGGTATCGGCCGTGCGGATACATAAAAGGCCGTTCCGTGTCGACCCCACTTTCAGCTTAGGCCTAGGTTCCACTGGGGCTCCAACTACTGCTTCCGGCTCCCTTTCCGGCAACTGCCAGACGTTACAGCGGGTGTCAGTAGCTATCGTACAACAACAATTGTACGATACGCAGTACAACGATTGACAGCCGTATTGTCACACAGGAGGCCCAGCCACTTGCAATGTATGGTACAGCAGTGCTGCTCACGAGCTGACTGACATACCGGCTTACGGGATTGCTAAGCGTTTCATACGCGGCAACTATACGAAGAAAAGCCGCCGCCGACTGCTCCGCCGTACTTTCGTACGACTGAATTTGCTGGAGCTTGTCGTAAGTGTCGTACGGGTGCTGGCGACGGGCCTTGGCGCGAGCAGCGAGCACGTCGGGATGCAGCTCCTTGGCTCTCTTGAGGTGGCAGATCGCGAGGAGGAAAGAGGATTCGTTTTGAAGGTTTGAAAAATGGACGAAAAAAGCGGATTGGGAGAGCAGATAGTGAAAAATCCAGGTCATGCCTGGGGACGAACACCGCTGCAGATGTCAAAACGTCTATTCGGTGACAAGGACGAACGGAGGAATGAAAATGGAAGCACGGCAACTACGCGGTGCAGCCTGATGGCGATGCAACTCATCATCCCCAACGACCTAACCGTCAACCGCCAACTGGCGCCAACGACGCTCTATGGTCACTTCACTGTCCTCAGCCCTTGGGGTGGGCGCCCTTGGGGTGGGCGCCCGACGTCCGCCCCCGAGAAGCTGCGTGATGGTAGGGTACGGTTCCCCACTTCTCCCTCTATTTCCCCCGTACAACAAAATCTAGTTCATAAAACTCTTCCCTCGTTCCGCTCCGAAACCAATTAGCTTACCTGTCGAAACGCCGCCTTGATGGCCGCCGAGGTCGCATCCCGGGGCACGCCAAGCACCTGCAGATCGCCAGCACATGGGCTCAGCAGCAGCCCCTAGCAGCAGCAGTAGCAGCAGCAGCAGTAGCCCTTCTGTGCTTAAAATAGCATTCATATCGATAAAGGACGCATCCTAGCGCAACTCGTATTTCATTTCCGTACCTCGTAATGGGTGGCGGATGTTGAAGAGGTCCAGGGAGGGTCGGGAGGACCCCAGCCCCCCCCCCCGCGGCCTGAGCCACGGCCTCCGCCTTCACGACGGTTCCCGCCGATCCCACCGTTGTGGGTCTTCCATGAAGCGGCGCCGCTGCTACTGCTACTGCTAAACCTGCCACTGCCGCTGCTGCTGCTACTGCTACTGCTGCTACTGCCGCCGCTGCGGCCATTGTTGTTGTTGCTGCTGTTGTTCCTGCTACTGCCCAGGCCGCGGCTATGAAAGCTGTTAGCAGTCCCGGCGGCGCCATCCGCGGCCATGCTAGCGAAAAACCTGCTGATACTACCGCTAATACTATTATCACCAGGTACGGCCAAACTGCTGGACGTCCAGCGCGCTCCATAGCCACCACCGCTGCCGCTGCCGCTTTTCCTGCTACTGCATTGGCATTGGCTTTTGATGGTGATTCCGTCAAATCCGCTGCTACTGCTCTTGCTGCAGCTGAGGCCGCCGGGGTAGCAGCCATCGCCAACGCTGCTGCTGCAACGCCTGCCGGCCGTTTATACAAGCAGTGGCAGTAACAGTAGCAGCAGTAGCAGTCATGGAAAAGGGTTATCGATTACCGGGGATATCCGCTGTGTGGGAGAAAAGTTTGCGTTTGAGGAATAAGCAAGACAGTTTTGTTTGGTTTGGAGGAGAGTTGCGGTTTCTCTGAGCTGTGGGGTAGTTGTGTGATTCTGCCTGGTAGTGTGCTGGATGCGACATACCATCGGGTCACTCCCTCACCCTCTCAGAGTCCCAAGGTGGGTTATCTCGCTGAAAAAGGCGTTGCTCTGTTTTCATGTTCTAAGTTATTCTTGTGCGGCTTAGCACGGGCAATGACGACCTCTTCTAGTTGCCTCAGGTCGCAAACACAAGCACACACGCGTGCGGCGACCCAGGTGGCGGCGTTGCTGCGCGAGGAGGGAGGGAGACTTCTTGCCGCGAGGGGGCCCGACCCTCACACACCTAGAAATCGATCGCTTGGCGAGTGGAGGGGGTTGAAACGTCACGTGAAGGATGCGATAAGGTAATCTGTGTGTGGGCCCTAAACCCCACGCCCTCGGCTGCTCGCATGCACCCACCCACCAACCCACCAACCCACCCACCAACCCACACGCGTGCCACTGACTCCGCTTAAGTGAACATGGCAATATCTCACATCCCGCCCCGTGTGATATCCATCAGGCTGCTGATCTCCGCGGCTCCCCCTCGCTCGCACCTCGCCGCAAGCAGCAGCAGTCCGCATAATCCAGCAGATTTCCCCCAGCTATTGCTGCTGCCATTGCAGCCAGGCGGTGCCGTACCGCGCCTTTCCAGCAACGGCGGCACAGATACTCCTGCTGCTGCTGTTGGTGTTGGTGTTGGTGTTGAGGTGATTGCCCGTAAGGCTGATAATTCCAAAAGCGCCCTAGGATGCGCACTCTCAGCAATGGGGCATGGATTTGACCAAGGTTGCCGCTGCTGTGGCTGCTGCTGTGGCTGCTGCTGTGGCTGCTGCTGTGGCTGCGGCTGTGGCTGCGGCTGTGGCTGTGGCTGTGGCTGTGGCTGCGGCTGTGGCTGCAGTATGCTGAGCGTTGCATCCTGATATGAAGTGGCGCCCGTGGTAGGAAATCGCATTTGAGGCGGAGAAGGAGGACGTGGAGGCGATGGGTACTGCTGGATTAGCAAGGGGAAGTAGGCTGGGGAGTTCGCGGGGGAAAGGGAGGCCGAAGCTGTGCGGGCGGAGGGCGTGGCCCAGGGAATGGGGAGGCTGCTTGCTCGCGGCAGTAGCATTGCCCCACAGAGAAGAGCGAGGTGCTGCTGCAGTGTGGACATGGCTGATGGCAGGGAGAAGATATGGCGAGGAAAGGAAACGGGGACGTCGTTGCGGGTAGGAGAGTCGTAGGGTCGCGCGCCGTTTAACGCAGACAGGCGTCTTGGAGATCCGCCAATATACCTTCGTTTTTGTTTTTTTACTCATTTGCTTTGTATCGCATTGCTGTGCTGGGATAGGGGATGGGCAACCATGTTTGTGCCGCTGCGGCAGTGATGCTTAGAGCGGGTTTACATCAGGCTTTAAAGTATTGTTCAAGGACAAGGAAAAGTCATAACGATGAAACCTAACCTTGATAACGGAAATGGAGCCTTCCAAAGGTATCAACGTTGCGCGCAGCTCGCAAGCAGTGGCTGTCAGCGAGCTTACGTTACGTAATATGATGGCATTACTAGATAATAAACTTGTCTCGGCAGGCTACAATGCCAAAGGAAGTTACACCAAAATTGAAGGACTGACGTGCTTGTCCCTGAGATTTTTGCATTTTCAAATGTTTCCTTTTCCCGTCGATTCTGGTCTCAGATAGTTGGATGGCAATTCACGTTCATCTTAAGAACATTACCATCGCTACCCTCGCTCGTTCCTCAAGTGCTACTGCGGCTGCATTTCCCCTGAACTGCATCCCTGGGAAGCTCATAGGAATGAGCTCGTAGCAATGGGAAAATTGACTGGGATGTGGCTAGCAGCATTGCTAAAAATCTTGTTGGGAAACTCATTTGTCACCGCGATGCTGTACGAGTGACAGCACATGACAGCGCATGACAGTGCATGACAGGCGCAGCACGCGCGAAAGGGCATCACAGGACGGAATGATAGCACAGAACACATTTCAACAAAGGAGTGCAAAAAGAGCTTCTTTCCACAGCTCACCTTTCCGACCTATGCCCTGAGCTACACCTCATAGCACGCACGCACCCAATTGCAACCTTGCCAAAGCCATCCTCAATATATGCCGCAACATCACAAAGGAATGCGCATATCAATTATCATAATAGCAGCTTTGTAGGCTTACCAGATGGCTTTGGCTGTTCAACTCAAGGGGTGTGCCAACTAATAGGTAGCTATCCCTACAAATTCAGGTAAGCAGCTAAGCACCGCGCTCTCTGTGCTCCTACACAACATGCCTAAATATTATTTCTCTGTTGTGTTATAATATTCTTACCATACAGGCTGCGGCCGCTCTGCGGGCAAGCAAGCTTTGCACCGCTACTCGGCTTTCACCTTCCTGATAGCACGTTCGAGAGAGCATCAACGCATGCCAAGAAACATTTCCTACAACCGGAGACATAATATATTCCACATCTTGGTCGTCTACTGACATCCTTAAGCGTCTCTACGCATTACCAGTCATTACCAGTGATCAACCAGCGATGCTGACTCCAGAGCAAGCCCGCAAGATCAGCCTAATCGATGTACGCGCTCAGTAATCGGCGATCCGATGTTCTCATTAAAAATTGAGCCTCTGAAAACTACTCTGAAACTGTACTGCTCTGAAACTGTACTGCTTTGAAACTGATTTTGGACCAGTTAGACGCGTCCCGTACGGGACCGACCACCCGAGCCCACCGAACCGCGTGCCGCAAAACCGGCTCTCGAAGAAAGTCTGTGGAAATTTCCAAACTGCTCTTTTATCCCTGTCACAAAATTTCATTTTCTGTGGCCGCTTTTAGGAGGTGTTTTATAGCACTTATGTCACGTTGCAAATTGCATCCGGTGCAGTAAGGCACACATATAAGATGTTCGTTGGCGGTTTTGCAGCAGCTTGGACATCATAGCTTGCGCACATCCCCTTGTAACTGGACTGCCCTTGGATCCCGCACTGTGGTATCTACCTGCTTAAGTGGCCGGACAGATGACATCATGAATCCTCATCCGAGCGTTTGGCCAGGTTTTTGTACGGCACCTGGAGATTTAAAAATCCGACTTTCCGTTTTCCCCTCCTTGCCTCATCCATTCTCCCCTCGCGCCATTACATGGATTGCGGGTAGGTGCTGCTGGAGGAGGCGGAGGCGGTGCGACCAGGGAAGGTGAAGCCGCCGCCCGAGCAAGCTGCCCTCCACTGGTGCGGCCCTGTGATTTAACCATCACACCGGACTTCTTAATCTGAAATCTGAAGCGTTTGGGAAAGTATAGCGGATTTGCCTGGATTTGGATTTGGTTAGGATTGGATTTGGAAAGGACCGGAAAGGTTCTAGATCCGCTCGATAGCCGTTCAAAAGGTCGTCTTGTACGACAAATTGTACTGTTCATGCCGGTTTTGCTATATGCGTGCCGTGATGTATGCCATGCCTACCTACCATGCCTTGTATTGTGTGGAGGTCCGAGGAGGAGCTTCGGAAGTACTTTCGTGACCAGCTTTCCACGGCCGGCCCTGAAGCTGAAGAGAATGGTAACGCTGCGAACACCCCACATTTGCATGGTGGCGGCAGCAATGGCGCCACTGTCAATGGCGAAGCGCAACTGCCGGCCGCGCGTCAAGCTGTAATGCAACCGTCTTGCGGCACAGTCGCGATGTCGCCCACGGCGGCGCGGGTGGCAGCAGCGGCTTCCGAGGGGGGCCCTACAGGTCCCTCGACTGGCAAGGCCGCAGCGGCCTGTCTCAGGCCCGATGTTTTGTCGCGGTGGTTTCCGGGCCTCAAGCTCAGCGGCACAGCTACACCAAGACCCAAGCAAGTCAACGGGGGAGCAGTCCCTGGTGTTAAGGTTTTGTTTCCCTGTTTTCTGGTCCGACTCTCTTCCTAAGCTGTGCTAAGGAAGAGCGTTTTGCTTTTTCCTTAGCTATCTTGAGCTGGAAAAGAAAGAAAGCAGCAGCGAAAACAACAAACGACGGTTCTACTTGCATGGAAAGTGCAGTGTTAAAACCCTTACTGATACGGCGTTGTACGGCATGTTAATACCCTTGGTGCATGTGTTGTTTCGGAAGCTAAAGATAATACAAACATCAATATAGATTGTATTGTTGCAGCTGCACTGTCTGTGCTTCAAGCAAACGAGCCCTTGTTGCAAGCCCTTAAACTCTGCCCATTGCTATTTCCCACGACATCGCTTCCCAGAAAGCTCTGCGCCGCTACTGCCGCCCCGCCGCCGCCGCCCCCGCTGTCTTGCTATAGCCCTGCTCCTAACACATTGACGCATCATTTCCAATCTAATATCTTAGTATGGCAGCTGACCCATGTGCAGCAGAGCTCCTAAACTGACCTCGGGCTAAACTTAACCGGGGTCACAAATCGATTACTTTGACCGCAGGTTGGCGTTACTCCTGTCAATGCAAACGCTGTTTGGGGCGCCTACCTGCGCCACGTAACGACTGTCTTCTGAAACTTGTTTCTGTCGTTTCGGGTCAACCTTTACACGCCATAGGAGCCTAGATAGGTGTTTTTTGGCTACGGGTACTGCAGTACGCTCCGCAGCTCCTGTCGGACCCTGGGGTTTCAGAACCCACGCATCGATGCAATGCAGACACGCACCTCCTGTTCATCCCCGCGCTAACACCACCCCGCCACCACCTTACACGTTACACCTGCCCATACCTAAAGGATGCGGATCCTAGCCTTCCACTCCGCGGGAAATGCCGAGGACATGTGGACGTCGGAGGGCACTGGGGTGCGCAGGAGTCCAAGCCCGCTGTTGGTGAGGGTTTAGTATTATGCTTTTAGGCTATTTCAGGTTTTGAGGCCTTCAGGCTTTAGGCATGTAGAGGAGAAATTGGAGGAAAAGGAAGACGTAGATGTAGACCTTATGCAGGCTGTTACTGCTGTTAGTGCTGCGGCTCGTGCTGCTGGTGCTGCTGTTGCTACTGCTACTGCTACTATCATCGCCACTACTGCCGCTACGTCCTGTTGCCGTCATCACTGACAATCAGGAGTGGTGTCGGAGCAGCGACGTGGAGATGCTGGCAGTGCAAATGCCGGGGAGGGGCAGCCGGGCCCGAGAACCGTTCATCACTACCGCGCAGGTACACACACGCACAAGCACACACGCTTGTGTCACTGCACCGTTACGTCTGGCGATGTGAAGTAGGGTGGTACAGCTTCACCTGTGGCCGCAGTCTCTACCGTCCCCGATATTACTGGGCACTTTACACCGTCCCATACCGGCTTCTGGGAAGTCAGTGACTATTCCAGATCAAAGGCGGCGACCACCAACGTAGACTAAAAGCGGCTTATGTAGGAACCGATCCTGAAAGTTCTCGGGACTCAATCTGTTGTAAAACAATGCTTAGCTCACGCCGAGACTCGAACTCGGGTTGGTAGATTCAAAGTCCACAGTGATAACCACTACACCACGCGAGCTCCTTTGATGAGCAAAATAATATTATTAAATATTCTAGAGTGCATGGGATGTATTGGGTTCGATGTGGGATGTGCGCATCGGCATGTGTGAAGTGTCGTGCACAAGAAAATCTCTGCCGGCACACGCCGGGCGGGTTTGGGGCCACCCACCTCCCTTTTGCTTCTTGCATAGGGGGCCCCCTGTCCCTTAGAACCTAAGCATGCGCTGTTTTTTTTTTGTACATGAAACCAATGCATGTTAGCCCCCTCGCCAACCCTCCCCTGGCAGGCAGCTGCCAGGGAGCTACTTCCCGTGGTGCAACCCCTCCTGGAGTCCGGAGTGCCGTACGCCGTCCTGTCGCATTCATTTGGCACGTGGATTTGCTTCGAGCTGCTGCGCGCTGTACGGCGCGCGGGCCTGCCGCTGCCGCGAATCTGGTGCCTGTCAGCCATGCCGTACCCAGACGTGCCGTACAGTCTGAGGCCGTGGCGGCAGCAACGGGCATTGGGCGACGCGGATTTTCAGGTGGGGGGAGGATTGGAACGGGTGTGTATGTGGGCGGGTTAGTGCCGTACATGTACAGCGCTGCTTTTAAGGTTTAGCGAAGAACGAAATTCACATGTGCCTGTGATTGTTGCAGAGGGGCATTACTTTTGCTGCTATTCCCATCCGGACACCTTTCCAACATTTCCTGGCCAAAGTTGATCACAGCTTCACGGCCAAACGCAGACGTGGGGGCCCTCCATACAGTTAAAGTCCAAAATGTGCCTTCAGGAACAATAAAAATGGCCCGAGGCTTTGAACGGAACCTTAGGTACGGGTCGTGCATGCGCTTTCCCGCCCCGCCATGCGTACATACGACGAACAAGGCGAGCGCAACACTTCTCTATAACGCGTTAACGCTCTCATTACACAGCGCCTTACGTGCATACCCTCGCCTCTCTGTTCTCAACAGGGCGATGATGATATCCGATATATACCGAGATGATGACCTCGACCCTCCCGGCCCGCTACCTTCCGTTTCCTCTACGCCCTCCGAGCAGGAGGAAGTTCGCGGCTGGGATGTGAATGAGGTGGTTTTCACTCCGGACATGTGGCAGGTGGGGTAAAGGTTTCGGGCGGCGCATGTGTTTTGCGCGCACGAACCCTGGCAGCATAAAGCCGCCCGCGGATCCCATCGAATGGGTTCAGCTTCGGCGTCAGCAACAGCAACTTATAGAATTGTTTTCCCTCTAGCAGGCTCACCCAGAAGGCACCCACGCTCTCTCTTTCATTGTCACCTATGCACATCACCCACACGTTGCAGTAGCTGTCGTATAGCTTTAGTGCGCATATATATTGCTTGCGTAAGAGTATATGCGCAAGCAGTATACAGGCACTAAAGCGCCCACTCGTAGCACTTCGGAGGGCCTTCTAGGAGCCCAGTCGGCCGACCCACGTTCCCACCCACGCACCCACCCACGCATCCACCCACGCATCCAAACCCTACATACCCTCGACCCGGCCCCACCCGAACTTCCGGCTGTCGAGCCGCCCCGCCCCGACCCGTACTGTTTCCCCCGGTAACCACGCTCATCATACAGCTGTACGAGCCCATCCTCCGAGCGGACTGCACCGTATTCGACGAGTACGAGCTACAGCCCGATGATCCGTACAAGTACGACGCACGGCAGGCAGCAGATGCCGACAGTGTCGCGGGTGGGTCTCGACGCCCTCAAGCGGCGTCGGATTCTCAATGCTTCGAAGCGTGCGGCGGCTTGGATTATTGTTCTGTAGGAGGAAGGGGGGTTTCCAGGGCTCTGGCTAGGTCTTGGCTTCCGCTCTACCGTCTCGGGGATTACATCGTTTCCGCTTAACCCGCTCGTCGCCCGTCCTTCACTTTCATGTATCCCCAACGCTCTAATGCTCTTTAAAGACAGACACGCACTGAAACGCGTACGAACACACGTACACATGCATACACACAAGTACAATCCACGAACGCTCTGTGTGGTGCCCTCCCTCCCCTTTCCCCTTTCCCCCCGGCCCCAACCACGTCCCCAGGTCTTGCCCCCCTGGAGCCGTTCGACTTCCCCATCGAGGCCTTCTGGGGCAACACCGATAGGTGGGGGGGGGGAGGATGGACAGGGTTAGCGGTTGTAGAGGGTTATCTACAACGGCTCCCTGCAAATCTCCCTATCGGGGCAGCTAGGAAGAGGGCCAGCTAGTGCAGGCTAAGAGGCTGAGGGGGTTGGGAAGGCGGGCGCACAGGTAGAAAGGTGACGCATGTCAACACTCAAACCGGACAGCCCCTTCTCCCTCCCCTGGTCGGTTGGTAGGTAGGTAGGTAGGTGGGGAGAGGATATCATGTCCTCACCGCCTGCCGCCTCTTCACGGCGATCGCTCCTTTGGATCCATCACCATGCCCCGGAAGTAAGCAAACCATTCACACATTAGGGATTTGCTCGTAGAGCCCAACCATGCGCCGCTTTCTGAAGGAAGAGGATACGTTGTCCTGAAATCCATCTTCCCTTACTTTTTGTGAGGACGGGAACAGCGATTGTGAAACCGTTTTAAGTCATGTATAAAACCCTAAGTAAATTAAATTGCACAAAAGACATGAATGTGCACATGAAAAGCACACAAAGAATATGCAACCGTGTGCAACCACGCAGGCGCGTCCGCTCGGAGCTTGTAGCCCCCTGGGCCCGATACACACGCGCCGGATTCCGACTGACCGAGGTTGCAGGCAATCACCTGTGGCCGATCAACAACCGGGAGGCCAAGACTGCGTGGCTGAACCAGGTGGTGCAAGCGATGAATCAAGCTGTGCTGCTGACGAAGAAGTGACGAATGTTGACGGGAAACCCTAAGATCCCTTACTCAAGCCCTTGAGCAGCGTCTAGGTGTGTGGTGTGTGCCCCAGGCACAGCCAACAACACGGGGCAATCGAGGACTGTAGGAGCCAGCCGCGGCCTCACTGGCAGCAGCCGTGCATCTCGCCCGCATGCTCGTCTTCCCCACGGGGCGCAGCAGGCGCGTCACTTGCACTTGGCTTGCTGAGGACATATCTTTCCGCCATTGGTTCCGGAGCGGAGAGGAGAGAACGGGGCCGCTTGAGAACCCTACTCTTGGATGTTTAGGCCTGTTAAGGAAGATTACTGAGAAGTTTGGGGCCCTTAAACTACCAAGCGATAAGAGCTGAGGAGAAATCATTTTGCTGCTGGAGAAGTAAAACAACTTTTGGTTTTTCGCTTTGGGCTGTCTTTCCAAGGTTCGTATTGTTTCGTCATATCTATGCGGCGGAAGGAATTGCAGGTCCGTGCTCATATATGCCTATCTTTTATTGTTCAGTATGTCGCGGTAGAGTTGAGAGTTGCAGTTGGGGAGGCTAGGCTTAGTTTGTATACGCAGCGCACATACAAAATGACAGCGCAGGTGTGCGAACTGGGCTAGCTGTGCTGTGCTGTATCGCTTTTGGGATGTGCTGCGACGTGCTGCGCTGTGCTGTCGCATAATGTAACGACACGCCATTGCACAACGTGGTGTGCTGCGCTATGCTGTTAGCCTGCTGAGCTACGACATATGCTTAGTTAAAAATAAAGAACTCGTAAAACAAGACGTAAGGTTTTAATATGCTGAAATACGTCGCAATCGTCGCAATGTACTTCAACGGGTGTGCTGTGCTGTGCTGTGCTAGGTTGGCGATGGTCGGTGGCAGTCAGGGCATGGGGCCTGGAATGGAGAACATAGACGCGCAGTGGCGCACCCAGGTGCAATTCATTCCCCTTCAGTCGATCCGATGGCCATAAATTCGCTGCTATATTAAGCTGCTCATAAGCCATACCACTAAAAAACATCTATAGGTTTTGCTAAGGCGAGCTCGGTCCTCTAGTCCCGCGCCTTGCGCATTTTTCAATCCGTCAGTTCATTGCAACAACGGAAATAGCATAGTGCCAGGAACTACATGAGGGCGAGGCTTAGACTTACGACGAAATCCCTCATCTGTATGGAAATGAATCACAAACTCGGAAAAACTTTAGGAAAACGATGCAAGAGCACCCGCAATCGACCCCAATCCACCTGCGCGATAGTGGCTTAAGGCAAACACGTTAGTTTATAAGCCTCATAGATTGATGTTTTCAAATCCATTACCCTCCCAGGTCCGCGCACTTGAGTTGACCCGTTCCAGAGTGTGGATCCCGCAGGTCGAGAAATATTGATTGAGCAAGCGTGCGCACGGTTATTATGTGCCAAACATGATACTGTCTTTGCAACTATCCCTGAAGATTCGCTTTATAACAACAATTCCTAGTACGGTAATTCGTCAGTGGAAGTACCAAGGGGGAATCCTCACAAACGTCTTATCTAAGGCAAAGTAAGTGATGATATGTTGTAGTGAGCACTATATTGTGTTGGCATGCCGGTCTGAGCTAGCGCCGCAACGACAGAAAACCTGCGGTCCGGAAGCACGCGCTTGCACGCATTCCAAATAAGAAGGGTTCCGTTAACGAGTGAACAAACCTATTGACAGACTTGAGGCCTCTTGTTCAAGTGCTCAGGATGACGGAAGAATCTGGCAACAGGGAATATTGGCTTACGGTCACACTCCTTTGTGTACGGCTTCTGCGCGTCTCGCACGTATAGCGTTCGATTATGCGTAATCTTTGTGACACACCCTCCGAAACAAAATGAAGACGTCGAGATAGTATCTCGATTTATGCACGTCACCCGTTTGCTGGCCGGTCCCCTTTTGTTCTGCACAGTGAAAAGCGCCGTCCCTGAGCCATGCCTCCCAGTGCAGTCGCCCATGGCGACGTAGAAGCGCCAGCCAAAGAGCTGAGCCCATATCGCGTCGGCTTTGAAGAGCTGACCAAGGCAAATGAGGTATGCAACAATACTATTTTTTCACCTTATGATGGAAAAAACTGTAAATGTATGGTCCTCTGTGCATGCAGGAAAAGGACATGGAGTTCTATAACAGGGTCGGAAAGGCCGGGGGCCTGGCCAGGTTGTTGGGTAGTTCGCCGGACCGAGGCCTCAATCCTGACCCAAACGCCACAGGTCACGACTCAGTCTCTGAGCACCGAAGAATATTCGGCGCTAATAAGCACGCCGAGGTGCCTCCTAAGAACGTGAGAGATTACCCTGGGGCGGTAAAGCCACAGGCCTGCATATCAGCTTGTTGCGGGAACATATGTATATAACCTTACTGTAATATATTGGAAACGCAGTTCTTCGTCCTCGTGTGGGAAGTAGTGCAAGACCCCATCCTCATATTGCTGATTGCGGCGGCTGCGGTGAGTTCCACAGGATTAAGCAATGCCATATCGACCTTATATAAAGTCTGTTGGCTCCATAGCACTTTGCTGCAAACAGCAGCGCTGCGTCGCCCGTTGCGGCCTGTGCGGTCCAAGGGTCACTTAGCGCGTGTTCGCGCACGTGCAGTCCAAACCACCCATCGCCCTGGGCCACCTGCTTTCCAAACCTAACGACACCCCTTTCGGGATACCTGCAGGTCTCAACCATTTTGGGTTCAGCTATTCCCGAGGAACGGAAAAAAAATCACTGGATCGAGGTACGCTTGGGCGTGCCTTGGGACCCCTAGCTCCGGAGCCCTCCTCCCAGCCGCAGCTGCCCTGCCCATCATTCCCCTCAGCACCGCTGGTGTGCGAGTACACGCCAGTCTTCTCAGATACTGGCACGCTGTGCACATCACTATGTGCGCATGTGTCCGAAAGTGAATGGCTGCATGATGTCACCTTGGTTGGGTGAATTTAAGAGGATTATCCATTTAACCGCATGCGCCCCTGCATGAAACCGGGGCGCTGGGCGAGAGCAGGAACAGGCACCAGCTGTCGCTGATAATTGCGATAAGCACATTCCCCATGTGCTTCGTATGTGTGTATATTTTGCGAATGGATGAGTAGGTGAGGGGAGGCGTGCCGTAGGGATGCAAGCAAGAAGGCCTGCATGCTCACGAACACCTGGTGGGCCTTATCAATCCTCTAATCAGCCTTTTGTTGCGGCGTGCTGTACGGCAGCCAGCCTTTAGTTGCGGCGTGCCGTACGGCAGCCGTCCGCCGTGTTGATGATATCCATCTTGATAAAGAGGCCTCCTGGTTTTCCTCGCGCATTTCCGCAGGGTGTTGCGATTTGGGTCGCTGTCATTGTGGTGACGCTCGTCGGTGAGACGGTGGGACGAAGCTGCGGGATGAAACGAGCAGCACTACAGGGATTTAAAGCGATCGATCACTCAGCATCACTCGTCTGTGGTCCATCTCCCCACCCCCAACCCCCGAAACTTTGGCAGCGGGACAAATCTTTTTGCCCGCCCCCATTCCTCCATTTCCATGGATCCCTTACCCGTCCATCCTTTTCGGTGCACTGTGCACTGTCAATCCCGCACCCACACCATCCACACAACCTGTGACTCCATCTCTCTTTTCAGGTGCCGGTAATGATTACTCTAAGGATTTGCAGTTCCGCAAACTCAACGCCCAAAAGGACCGGATCCAGATCAAGGTCATACGCGGTGGCGAGCAGATCCTGGTGGAAAACACTGACCTAGTGGTGGGGGATATTGTGATTCTGGACACGGGAGACAAAGTTGTCGCCGATGCCATCGTGCTGGACAGCCAAGGGTTAACCATGGATGAGGCGTCGCTGACGGGCGAGAGTGACCCGATGAAAAAAAACATCAATGAAGACCCGTGGGTCATGTCGGGCACACAGGTAGAGACACGTGGGTGGTTGGAAAACTGGGATTTTGGAATTGGGAACTGAGTCGCGCTGCACACGGCGACGGGTACACATGTAACATGAGCACACACGCACATTCGATGAGAGTTTCAAGTTTGCAAGTATGCCACGAGACCGGTGTTGTGGATTTTACGAGGCTCCTGGCGCGTTGTTGTTTCTCTGGGTCAGTTGCCTCTTGGAGAGGTACAAACATTGACCCTGTATATCCCGTGTACTGCTGGCGTAACTTAACCTCGCCCCAAACACACAACAACGACACCAAAAATTCACAGCACAGGCTCTCAAACACGCGGCCACGCACGCATCATACATGGACGAAATTGCATAAACGCACAAACTCACGCACCGTGCTCGGGGTTCGCTTCCGCTTACCACAGGGCAGCAGCCGGTGCTCCGCAGTCGCCTATTTTATATCTCCATCACTGTGTTCTCGCTTCTCCTCCCTCGCTTCTCCGCCTCCTTTCCCCCTTCCCCCCCGGACCTTTCAGGTGACCGAGGGCAGCGGCCATGTGCTGGTGATTGCGGTGGGCCCGAACAGCACCTGGGGTAAGACGATGGCGCTCGTGACGGAGGCAGGAGACGATGAGACGCCGCTGCAGGAGAAGCTTGGTGTGCTGGCTACTGCCATTGGAAAGATTGGCTTTCTGGTTGCTGTATGCTGCTTCATCGCGCAGCTCATCAAGTGGGTCGGGTTCGGAAATGGATCCTCACATAAGGTTGGGGAGAATATCTGTACGTACTATGTATTGTATGCTGTTATACAGGGTGGTATAGCTTCACCAGCGGCCTCCTCCTTTCCCGAGGCAGTTTGCCCTGCTCTCCCCTGCTAGAGGGGCACCCTAATCCGTTCACCCCATCCGACTTCAGAGTGTATTCTTTTTGGGTTCAGCAACTCACCACCAGCATTCAACCAAATCTAGTGGATGGAGCGTAGGGTTGGTTGGGAGCCTGCATGGGGTATATAAAATGTGAAGGAGTGGGTTGGATAGTAGACATGCTGGTGGGCCGGGTTGGATGAGCTTGGCTTGGCCTGATGTTCCATGGGTTGCTTCGTGGGCTCGTGTTGGGGTGTTGCTGGATTTGGATTGGGGTGGGCTAAGATAGGCTGGAGAGTGATCATGCTAGGGTCCGGGTTCGAATCCTTGTCGGAGCTGTGGGTCGGTCGTAATGCCTGTCTCTTCCATACTGCAGCCCTTGGTTTATGCTTCAATTTGTTTTGTTTGGCGATGTTTTCTTTTTGTCACCCTCCAAAGCAGCCCCGCTTTGCCCACACGCCCGCAGGTGGTGTGTGGTGAATAAGGGCTTCCCAATTAAGAAAATCAACGACAACGGTCCCATTCAGTTTTTCCTGTACGCCATTACCATCATTGTGGTGGCAGTGCCTGAGGGCTTACCTCTGGCGGTTACCATCTCCCTGGCTTACTCCATGAAGAAGATGATGACCGGTGGGTGTGATGAATCCGGTGTCTAATGGCTGTGGCCCAACAGTAAGCGGGAATGTGTGAGGGGTTGGAGCGGGCAACAAAATGACGGAAGCGAATGGGCACCTCTTTCCCCTTAAGAAGATTAGGAAAAGGAAAAGCCAGAGGAATCTAAATCTAAATCCAAAACTAGAGGGAGCAAATGAACGCCTGCGTGCGGAAACGCGGTGGCCTGGCAGCTGGGGACAGCCTTCCGTACGACCGTCCTTCCGTACCGTTTCCGTACGCCCCATACATGCTCGCAGACAACAACTTTGTCCGCGTGCTGGCGGCTTGTGAGACTATGGGCGGCGCCACCGCCATTTGCTCGGACAAGACGGGCACCCTGACGGAGAACCGTATGACGGTGGTTGAGGGCTGGTTTGGGGGTAAGAAGTACGACCAGGCGCCTCGAAGCGGTGACCTGCAACCCGAGCTCCTGGAACACCTTAAGATGAACTGCGCTCTCAACTCCAAGGTGAGAGGAATTGTTGGGAGTGTGTGAACCGTGCTGGGGTGCAGTGGGATGTTGGGGTGTGTGCTTATTGCGATCTCGTGGTTACGCCTGCCTCTGCGTTTACTGCGACTTCGGCTCACCGACTGTTTTTTCCAGGCAGAAATTTTATGAGAAAATTGTGCGCTGCCATGCCGCCGCGACTGCGCGTGCACTTTCTTATCCTCTTCCTTCCGGACCGTCCTCTACAGGCTTTCTACACGGTGGAGAAGGACGGCAAGATGGCGTTTGTGGGCAACCGTACGGAGTGCGCACTGCTGCTGCTCATGAACAGGGATCTGGAGTCGGACTATAAGGCCTATCGGACGCAGCACGAGAGGAGCGTGGAGAAGGTGTGGCGGATTGGGGTATCGGGGTATTGGATGTCGGGGGAGGGGAGGGAAGGGAAGGGAAGGGGGGAAACATGACAACGACCATGACAACAAAAGCTGTCAACGATAGCCTAAGAAACCGAGGAAACTGAAACCGGTGTCTGCGCGACCGGAGGGAAGAGGTTTGGTCAGAGGTTACTGGTTTGGTCTTGTAGGAATGATGAGACTGAATGTGATAGGAATGGTGCTTTTATTTGGGACGATTTGGGACGTTGGACAACGGGAAAGAAGCGCTGCAGGGGAACGCTCCGCACCTTAGCACCTTGTGGATATCGACCATGAACGTGAAGGGCCTTGGATGAGTCGTATTTCAGTTGTTCTGATGTGCGACATCCCGCCATGTGCCATGGGCCCTCGGAAAATTCTAGGACTTCCGGGCTGTCGCAATTCTGCAATATGTCGTCCATAAGTCCACATAGCACGCATGCTCACGCACACGCACACGCGCGCGCATGTTTCCTTCTCGCCACTCAATCCCATAATAAGAGAGAGAGAGAGAGAGAGAGAGAGAGAGAGAGAGAGAGAGAGAGAGACACGTATGCGTGCACACATTTCACGCAGATTTACGGCTTCACGTCCGCCAAGAAGATGGCCTCCGTACTTGTACGATTAGGGGACAAGTACCGCCTGTATAACAAGGGCGCGGCGGAGTGGGTGCTCAAGCGGTGCAGCCGGTGCATCACACAGGTAGCGGCACGGGTGTGTGTGGGGATGGGGTGGGGTGAGGTGTGGCGGGGTGTGGGGATGGGGTGTGGGGGTGGTGGTGCGGCGTGGTGTGGTGTGACGGGGTGTGATGGGGTGTGTGGTGTGGCGGGGCGTGGCAGGGTGTGTGGTGTGGTGGGGTGGCGGCTTCCCCTTAATTGTTACATGCTCTTTTGTTACACCCACTAGCATTCGGCTCCCCTTTTTGACGTACGTACATACAAACGTTCATCCAAGGATGCACGCGTATACCCTTGTATACACATGAATACACATGTGCAAACACAATATACTTCCTGGCCTCAATCATCAAGTCATTTTGTCGTACGCTGTCGTACCCTGCCGTGTATTTCGACATCAGGCAGGCGTCGTGGAGATGACTCCAGCACTCCGCGGGCAGTTGTTGGACGAGGTAACCGCCATGGCCAAGCGCGGCCTTCGATGCATCTGCCTGACCTACGCGGACTTTGCGCTTGTGGACCCCAAACGACCCGCGGGTCAGTTTGCCTGCCTGTTTATTTTTGGCTGTCTGTTTTGGGAGAGGGGGTTTTGAAGACCGTCCGGTGGACCGATACTTGGACTAGTGAGATGGCTCGGGTGCGATGTGGCATTGCCACGTAGACCGACCCGTGGGTCTCGTCCTCCACACACGTGTGTCTAATAACAAACATGTTGCTGTTGGGGGAAAGGATTTCGAGAATCCACTCCGTTTTGGGGGCCTGTTGCTTTGCATGCTTGCCTACGTTTCTGTGTGCCTAGCGCATCTCCCCCTCCCCCGTCGTCTTAACTTAGGAAGCGACTACCAACAAACCTAACCCACCAAAAAGTTCTGAGCTCCTCGGGGTATTAAAGCACCTCAACCAAAGTTGCATTTCCTGTGTCCCTCTCCTTTTCGCCCCTGCGTCACACACATCCACGTGCCCCCCAAAAAGACTTTTTCGAGGACGTTGACAACGTTGACAACGACCTGACGTGCATCGGCATCGTGGGTATCAAAGATCCTGTTCGCACTGAGGTGCCGGATGCAGTTCGTACTTGCAAACGTGCGGGTATCACCGTACGGATGGTGACGGGCGACAACATTCACACTGCACGACACATTGCGCGGGAGTGCGGTATCCTGTACGACATGGGGCCCGGGAAGCCAGAGCCTGTGGCCATGGAGGGCCCGGCGTTCAGAGATATGCTCAAGGTATACGGGTGTGTACGGCATTACATTGTACGGCATGGAGCTTGGGAGGGTTTTCAAACTTTTTCTGTGAATGGTGTTGTGCAACTGGGGGTTCTCTAATCGGGGGTAGTGGGGGCCGAGGCATGTACGGAACCGAAAGAGGTGGGGGATGGAGGGGGAAATAGTGAAGGGCAAATAGTTAAGAGTGTTAGCACCCCCCCCTGTGTGTATGTATGTATAAGGCCTCCTTTCCCAGTAGTGTAGTGCCGGGTACCCCCATCTCCGTCCCCGTCCCTATCGTTAGTGGCACCCTATGACCAGCCTAGTAGCCTTCCTGTTTCCCTTTTTCCTGCACACGCCAGTCATGTCGCGTTTCCTAATCGGTCGTTGGCCGTTGGTCGTTGGTCGTTCGCCACACGTCCGCGGGTCCCCCGGCGCTGCACGCCCACGTACTGCACCTCCCTCCCTGCAGGAGGACTCCTTCGTGGCGCTTCGTGAGCGCATTGCGGATGACAAGGCGGCGCTTCAGGAGTTG